GCCACCATCTGGAATGTTCTGAACTTGAGGAATCAACATCTTTTATTGGTGTAAACCTGCAAATAATGAAACAATAAGATTAAAAATCCTGTACAAGGATTGTAAAGTTATTTTATGTATAGTTGCTGTTAGTTCTCCACCTTCCCTTTCTTTTCTGTATGGAAGATCTCTGATTTATATATGATACTCTGGAGGATCATTTTCACAATATTTATCCAAATCTATGAAAAGACTTAGAAGCTGCTGCTCTCTAACATTAACCCTAAACTAGATTAATACCAACTTTAGTTGGGGTAGTAGGAGTATTTGATAGTTTCTATTTTTGAACCTTACTGTAAATTATGAACTGAGAAAATGGATTAATTCAGGAACTGGATTATGAATGTGAACAGACTCAATGTTTAATAGAGGGGTGGGACTGGTGGCCCCTTCATGTGGAGAGGCCAGCCCACAATGCTCTAGCTCAGGGGTGTCAAACTCAAAGCCTGGGGGCCGGACCTGTGGGGTGCTTAGATCCGGCCCGCAGGGCCACCCTAGAAACAGCAAAGGACTGGCTTCCTGCCGCCCTCTGCCAGTGAAAACGGAGCTTTGTTTTCAGTGGCAGAAGGTGGCAGGAGGCTGTCATGGCGGAAAATGGAGCTCGGGAGCCTGTTTTCGCTGGCAGAGGAATTGGGCCACCACAGACACCCCCAACATGAGTGATGCTAAGATAGCCACGCCCACCCTGGCCACGCCCACCCTGGCCCCTGAGATCAAACACAACCCTGATGCGGCCCTAATTGAAATCAAGTTTGACTCCCCTGCTCTAGCTCTTCGCCATCTGTTTTCTTTCAAACATGAGCCATTTTCTGAGTTTCTAATAAATGGCCATTTCCTGAATTCAGCGGTATGTCAGTATGGGTTTGTCCCTATTAAAACATTCATTTGTATCAAAGGGAGCTGCAGTATTTTATGTAAAACATTTTATGAGCTTGTCATGTGCAAAAGAAAAAAAAATGAATATCCTACCTTCTTCTTAAAAGCTTTATTTTCTTGAAAACCTCCAGCAACGGAGCATCCACAAGTCCAGGGGGCAAAGTATTCCATTGCTTAGTAGTTCTTACTGTCAAATAAGTGAGCTATTTTGCAGTGGGCATTTACTTATTGGGATCTTGTATTGTGAGTTAACACTAAACACATTAGGGACATTTCTTTCCATAGTAAATTGATTCAAATTCATTCATACTGTCAACCCTGAAGCGAACCTGACTGAGGCCATCTTTGAGGCTTCAGGGTTGCCACAAGGAGAAAGAGGGGACAGGGAGGGGGAAAAAAAGATAGCTGGGGTTTTGTAATCAAAACAAAAAGTTTTCCTGTGGGAACCAAGGACATTCCAACAGGTGGCCGAGGAGAGGAGGAGTGGAGTAACCAAGCAACCGGCCAGCACCTCGATTGGACAATATGACTGATGACTTGGTGGGAAAGGGGAAACTTCTACTTTTATTTAGGTGAAAACTGAGGAAACTTTCAGAGTCGGTTTTTACCAGTTGTGCCAATATGATATATCCAATAAATTGATCTTTGAGGAATCTATCTGCCTCGGAGTTCTGTTTTCTATGTGTGCATTGTTTGGAACATTGACTCATTCATTCATTCATTCATTCATTCATTCATTCATTCATTCATTCATCTTTCAACAAGTAAGTCTGGTGGTTGGTGTGTGTAACGAGTCCTTTCCATTGTAAACTATTTTACTGCTGTTAAAATAACATTCTAATGAGACAAGATCCATCTGTCCCTCACCTTTCCTTTTCCTTTCCCCCCTTCCTTTTCCTAGTTTCCTTCCAAGATGTTGCTTTGTCAGTACTGCCACCTAGTGTCTTATTTTAGTTTATAGATTTTAAAATTTATTTTACATATTGGTTGTTATTACCTTGGGACAAAAGCTGATTAAGATGCATTGAAAAATTATGTATCAGGTTCAGCAACTTTTTTCCAACAGCAGGCAGCCCAGACCACAAACAGGGCATCAATTCCTATGGCTTTTTATTGGTTTTCAAGTTTGTAGCAACTGGTACTTAGGAAAAAAAAACTGTTTATGCAGCTGGAAGTACTGTGCCTAATAGGAAATGGTGGCTTCTTATCAGCAGTTTTGGAATCTAAATGGATCTACTACAAATGCAAGATGAGTCAGCTCATGCTTAAAAATGCTTGCAAAAGAGTGAAAAAGATAATGTATATAGTACGGAGACTACCCCAGTAGAGATTTTGCAAGCTCTTTCTTTAATTTCTTCCAGTCTGAAAAGTTCAGGTAGGTCTCTCAGTAATTTCATAGACAAATTAAAGGAAGGCAGGATTTGACTCCAATGGGATTTGATGGCCCCAGATAGTGAGATGTAAAAACGCGAGAACCAATTGATATAGCCGTTACGGTGCTGAATTAGAAAGTGAGACATTGTGAGTTTTAGTCTCCCTTAGGCATAAGTTTATTTGTCAAGCATATTATATAAGATAACAGGTAAAAGTATAAACATAATTTGAATACATGAAAAGAGTAAGTAAAAAGGAGCACGCTCCTTACAGACCTCTTAGGAATGGGGTGAGGTCAACAGGAGACAGCTTAAGGTTAAAGTTTTTGGGGTTTGGGGAAGAAACTACAGAGTCAGGTAGTGCATTCCAGGCATTGACCACTCTGTTACTGAAGTCATATTTTCTGCATTCGAGTTTGGAACCGTTTACCTTGAGTTTGTATCTATTATTTGCTTGTGTATTGTTGTGGTTGAAGCTGAAGTAGTCATTGACAGGAAGGACATTGTGGCAGATAATTTTATGACCTATGTGATTTGGGACCAATGACACTATGTCAATCCAAGCCACCTCGCAGGATTGTTGTTATGAGAAAAATGGAGCATTAGGAGCCATGGTGGTGCAGTATTGGTTAGAATGCACTATCGCAAGCTAACTCTGCCCATTGTCAGGAGTTCGATTTTGAACGGCTCAAGGTTGACTCAGCATTCCATTCTTCTGAGGTCAGTAAAATTAGGGCCCAAATTGTTGGTGGCCATATGCTGACGTTTGTAAACCTCTCAGACAGTGCTGTCAAGCACTGTGATGTGGTATATGCATCTAAGTGCTGTTGCTATTATATTTGCTGCCTTGAATTGTACAAAATAAGGTCAGGATATATATCTAATAAATAAATGTGTATTTCACAACAATTGTGTAAAAAGGTTATGGGCCTTTCAAGTTCAGAAAGACTTGACATCTAAAACAGAACACAATTTATGTCATAGTAGCTGAAGCTGTACATATACTGTAGATGTGGCACTACCAAGCAAAGAGTAGCTTAAAAGCAAGCGGAAAGGATTGTAAATATTGGTACTGAATACTTAGATGACAGAGTAAACTGGAAAGATTTTCTCCATAGTTTTTGGAACATTAGGAGCTTTGACAGTAGAATTCTCAAAAGAGCTCAAAAATCATATTCATCCTCAAAACATTTAGCTTAAATAAAACATAGTTTTGTTTGGAATTGCTTCTCAAAGCAAACACAATATGAGAAGAGAACAGAGACACATCTCAGAGTTGGGACATCTCAGAGATGGGACACATTACTTGGTTTCTCCTTAAGGAACCGTGGTAGCACAGTGGTTAGAATGCATATTGCAGGCTGACTCTGCCCACTGCCAGAAGTTCGATCCTGATGGGCTCAAGATTGACTCAGACTTCCATCCTTCGGAGGTCAGTAAAATGAGGACCCGGGTCGTTGGAGACAAAATGCTGACTCCGTAAACTGCTAAGAGAGGGCTGTAAAGCAGTATGAAGCAGTAAATAAGTCTTAAGTGCTATTGCTATTGTTTCACAAAAGAAAATACACCTCCTATAGCCAGTGCTAGTTAATGGGTTGGACAGGGTTCCAGAAAATGTGTTCTGAATGCTTTGTTCTATTGTTGACATTGGACCATCTGATGACTGGGTTCCAGGTGATGCTGTTTTTCCCCTCTATTACAGGAAATCCTTGACTTAAGATTGTAAAGTGACCCTGGCAATTACATTTGTAATTTGTGATGATTTTAAGCAAACCTATTGATTGCTATGGGCAGTTTTTGCTGAAAACTGGAAGTAAATGTTGATTTCCAGCAGTTTTTTTAAAAAATGTATTGCTGTTTTATTGCATTGTAAACTGCCCAGAATTGCCTCAGATTGCAAGATGGGAAGTGTATACATTTAAATAAATGGGTAAATTGCAGTCCTATGACCTTGTAAACATTGTAAATGCAGGCCAGTATGCAGTGGTGAGATCATGGGGCGGGTGGGGGTGGGGTGGCCGTCCGAACTTCAGAATCAGGTTGTAAGTTTTGAGGGCTTTGTTGTAACTTGACAATTGCTAAATCACTGGTTGAGGACCATCTGTAGTTCCATCCAATGATCTTCACAGAGGAGGCGGAATATGTGTTCAGAACTCCCAAGCCTCCATGCAATTCCGTTGCAGATTTGTAAGGAAATTTGCTTTTCCCCATCCCTTACTTAGGATGGGGATAAGCAACCGAAGACTTCTGAACAACAAGTTACTAGAATCCTTATTCATTGGCCTTTTTTTGTTTGGTGCTAAATGGGAACCGTAGTCCAAATCATCTACCACCCTGTTGTCTAATCCTTGTTCTCCAGCAAGTAAATTGGGTTAAAACATTTCTCATTGTTTTATCATTATTGTTTCCAGGCCACCTTGATTTATAGACCCCTCTTTAAATGTTACAAGGATCATCCATCTGCTTCTTTTATGAAACTAATCATCTATTTATTTGCATTCAACATAGGAATGTGTACTGTTTTTGAAATGTTATTGTGTTAATAAATCATTACAATTTCCCCCCAGGGATTTTTTTTTTAAAAAAAATTGAAAAGCTAAGCACAAACAGTACATTGCAGTAATTAAAATAAAATTAAAACATGATCAATATGAATTACTCATTTATTTTAACCATATGTTGTAACAGACTCAATGTTTTTCTTTCTTCTAGAATGTATGAATTGCACAAAGCTCACAGATATGACTGAAAGGCTGAATATCTTGGAAGCCAAAGTAAGTAAATTATTCGGGAAACCATTTGGATGGCTGAGAATTCTCCTTGCCTTTGGCCTTCATCTACCTGACTTCATTGATCTCAGCTGTTCTAAAATATCCCATCCCATATTTCTGGAGCATCTCCCAGAGCCTCATTTGAAAGACTTCAATCATTCTCCTTTAATGTATGAGTAGAAAAAATGCTCAGAATCATAGAATTGGACAAGATTTCAGAAGGCATCTAGTTCAGTCCACTGCTTAATGTAGGATCTGAGAAAACATTTTAAACAAATGGCTATCCAGTATCTATCTCAGGGGTGTCAAACTCAATTTCATTGAGGGCTGCATCAGAGTTGTGTTTGACCTCGGGGGGCTGGGGGGGTTGAAATGGCCAGGCTGGGCATGGCCAGCTCAATGTCACTCATGTCGGGGGCCCTTGTGGTGGCCTGAGCACCTGCGGCCCTCCCGAGCTCTGTTTTCGCTACCAAAGGGTTGCAGGAGGCCGTTGCAGCCAAAAATGGAGCTCAGGAGTGCTGCAAGCTCCATTTTTGCTGGCAGAGGCACTGCAGGCCAGTCCTTCACTGTTTCCAGGGCAGCCCTGTGGGCCAGATTTAAGCACCCTGTGGGCCGGAACCGGCCCCTGGGCCTTGAGTTTGATACCCCTGGTCTATCTGAAAATAACCACTAAGCAAAAGGAATAGGCCACTTTATCATTGAAGGTGTGAATTGAATGGCATTGATTCTTTAATGCCTCTTGGCCTACTGATATCAAATAGGCAGTGGGATATAGATAGCATTAAGGATTGATTGCCCACTTTTTATCTGTCAGGTTCCTAATTTATGGACACTTCCTTCTGCTTTTTCCCCCCAAAATACAGATGCAAGAACATATGTTCATTGATTCTTCTCCTAGTAAATTATAGTTAGCTAGGTGCTTGTTGTTGTTAGTTGCGAAGTCGTGTCCGACCCATCGCGACCCCATGGGCAACATTCCTCCAGGCCTTCCTGTCCTCTACCATCCTCTGGAGTCCATTTAAGCTGCTTCAGTGACTCCATCCAGCCACCTCGTTCTCTGTCGTCCCCTTCTTCTTTTGCCCTCAATCTTTCCCAGCATTAGGCTCTTCTCCAGTGAGTCCTTCCTTCTCATTAGTATTTGAGTTTCATCTTCAGGATCTGGCCTTCTAAAGAGCAGTCAGGGTTGATCTCCTCTAGGACTGACTGGTTTGATCGCCTTGAAGTCCAAGGGACTTGCAGGAGTCTTCTCCAGCACCATAGTTCAAAGGCCTCAATTCTATTCCCATAACCTACTTCCTGTTATAGTTATATCCTGCTTGACTAATAATAGTTCAAGTTAGAGTTCTCTCAAGAATGTTCACACATGCTCATAGAATATTTTAAATCTCCAACATTCATGAATCAATCTCTTATCATCAAGAAATTTCCTCCTAATATCTCATCTGAATCTACTACCATGAAGTTTCAACCCATCAGTACTGGTCTTGTATGATGCTGGCTTCCTTTCTTAAAATTGTAACACTGCATGTTATCAAGATTACTGTGGGCTGGGCAGAAGAAACCACTATTTATTTGTACCACAAGCTACGGACCTTTTTCACAGATGGGGAGATGAATGTATATTAGCCCTAGATATTGATGGAGGTGGGAAAAATAACATTTTTAAGGAAACTAAGAGAATCTGAAAAGTCGAGAAGCAACATTTTCTCTACATCTGCCACTAACTAAAATTCATCCAATAAAGAAATGAAAAATAGGCCTTATCTTCAAGTTGACAGGGAATTCCTGAAATCTCAGTCCTAGATTTGTGGGCATCTTGCTTAGGTATTCTTAGGAGGCATCTGGGTTCACAGTCCATTTCCATGAACTTGTTCGCTCTGAGAAATTAAGCTTCTTTCGTTATTTCTCCCTCATTATTATAGTGTCCAGACGCTCCTAGATTGATTGTCCCCACCCAAAAATGGAAGGATTTTTTAATGTTAGGTTGGTTAATGCAATTCTCAAGTTATTCTCTTTCTCATGCACAGTTCTTGTCCTCAACTCCTTAGGAGTTGTCCTCAACATTTCCTGCCTAGTATATTCCCTTTGATTCTTTATGGCACAGTAAGTAGTGTTAATAGCTTGGCTTTCCCTGCTACACTACATTTCCCATTCAACCTAGGTGCTAACTGGCTGAGGATAGGTTGATTGAGAATTTTCTTTTATATGAGAGTTCCTAGACCAATTCAGTTGAGCTGATCCTACCACATAATGTAGGCATTATCCCAAGTGAGAAGTCACCAAACGAGATAAGGCTGTTTCTGCCTTAGGCCAGGAGATTTGGTCTTTCGAAGTTCAACTTCAGGGAAGTGGAATGTAGGAAGAATATACTATGTGCATAGATTTTTTTAAGATCATTCATTTTTTTCATTAAGCTAGAAATATTCAATTCCTGCAACCGTTCTTCATGTGTTTTAGCCTCTAGCCTCTTAAACATCTTTGTTCTTCTTCTCTTCTTTTTGGTTATTGTGGATCTTTGTTTCAAGGCCACCAGCATTTGACCAAGCATGAAGCCTTGCACGTACATGGCTGCATATACTGCATAAAGTATAAAACTATATTTAAGTATTAGATTTCACAATGTATAATCTGTCCAGAACTATAAATATTTGCCAGGTTCTCTGGAGCCTAGGTATGGGGGGTTTTTTGGTCCTATCTGCCAATGTCTTTTAGCAAAATCCATGGTGGATTATGAATAGTCTGTTAGAAATCTAAGGTTTGGATCGCTCCTTGAAAACTTGCAGTTATCTGATCTGAGCTTATATCATGCATCCCAGTGGAGGGCATAGGCTATGGTGTCCTGGATGTGAGGACATAAGAGTACACAAATGCTAGTTATGATTGATTCCGTGTGTGATAGCTAAAGGACCACATAGTTTTTGCATGATCGCTATTTTTTGTAATATAATTATTTTTCTCTGCCAGGCTCCAAATTATATCTTTTCCCCATATCATTAAAAGGCTTGTGCTTATTTATTTAAAGGAAAATAGAGTTTTTGTTCCACGCATTTAATTTAAACACATTTTTTCTTAATAACTGTTAACAGCTTATATGAGATGAAATGCAGTCTTAACCACATCTAATCAGAAATAAGTCCTAGTGAATTAAATCATGCTTTCTCATAGATAAATGTGCCTACAGATTCAGACTTAATTCAATAAGGAGTCTGGAGGCTAAACCACGTGATGAATGGTTGAGGGAGCTAGATATGTCTAGCCTATAGAGGAGAAGGACTGGGGCAGTGGTGGGTTGCCCCTGGTTCGGACCGGTTCGCAAGAACCGGTAGTAAAACCGGCGGGAGGCTCTGCCCACCGAACCGGATGTCATCAGGAAGCTTCTGCACATGCACAAAAGCTTCTGCGCATGCACAGAAGCGCACATGCACAGAAGCAAACTTGGCTGAGGAATTCTGGGAGTTGAAGTTCACAAATCTTAAAGTTGCCAAGGTTGGAGACCCCTGTCCTAGTGTATGTAAGATACAATATACTGACTTTAGACTTGTGGTTTAAATGTGGTTCTAGGAAATAGACTCCCTTGCCCTCCAGATGACTTCAACAATATGTTTTCCAAAAATATTCTTCTTAGTTTTTGCAAGGCGCAGCCCATCTGTTCCAGAAGCTCTTTCTATAGGTACTAAAGAGTGTGTTCCAGGAATCCAAAGTTTTCTCAAGGACACCATCCCTTGAGCCAATGGTTCAGAATCCTATTCCAGAGAAATTCCGGCTGTTCCAGCCCTCAAGGACCAATTAGGAGCTGTTCGTGGTCCTGATTTTCATTTAAACACCATGTCCTATTCAAAAAGACTTAGTATGATTGTCTCCATGTAACTTTCATGTAGTATACAATTTGTTTTGACCATTATGTTTTCCATCCAGATCCTTTTGCTTGAGGCTGCAGAACGAGCTTCACCTTCAGACAATGATCTTCCAATGACAAGAACTACAGCCACTTGGTATGATGATGTGGTGCCTGATGCTATTCCACTGGCTAATCCAGGAACAGCCCTGAGGAAACCAATGGGACCTGTTGGTGAGCAGATTGCCTTGTGTTCTCATCCTGGGCATTTGGTTTTCATAAAAATGGGAAGTGCCATGTATTTCTTCATAGGCCAATTCTGTCTTTTTTCTGCATTGAACTTGTGGTTCATTATTTCAACCAAATAACATTAAGTCTGGACTCAGGCCAAGTAATGTAATCATTAGTTAAAGCATTATCATTTGCTATAGAAGCATCTTATTTATTTAAGAAAGTAAGTGAGGACCCAGTTGTGGGGGCAATAAGCTGACTTTGTATAAATATACAAAAGGATGAAGGCTATTGCTGAGCACATTGTAAGCCGCCCTGAGTCTTCGGAGAAGGGCGGCATATAAATCAAATTAAAAAAAAAAAAAGTAACCAGCCATTTGTAAAAAAAAAAAGGTATATCTAGACCAGTGGTGGGTTTCAATATTTTTTACTACCAGTTCTGTGGGCGTGGCTTGGTGGGCATGGCATGGCTTGGTGGGCGTGGCTTGGTGGGTGTGGCAGGGGAAGGATACTGTAAAATCTCCATCCCCACCCCCCTCCAGGGGAAGGATACTGCAAAATCCCCATTTCCTCCCAATCAGTTGGGACTCGGGAGGCAGAGAATAGATTGGGACAGGGCCAGTCAGAGATGGTATTTACCGGTTCTCCAGAACTGGTTAAAACCTGCTGAAACCTACCTCTGATCTAGACACTTTCCAAGAAAAGTGGAAATCCTGTTGGATCTCCATAAAGAGAGAATTCTTTCCCTATGCAGTTAACTCTTCAAGTAAACCGTTTCCAACATTCGCTAATCCACAATGTCTAGAGACATGGCTTTCTACAACTTCAGCCACTTTTATCAGAAAGCAGCATCACACTGATTGTGGACGTCTGCATAACATCATGAGCGTGACATCATTATGATGTCTTCATAAAAGACATGAGGCTTGTGTCATGGGAGTGTGAGGTTGCTTTTATCCAAATGACAAATGATACTCCACTTCTTTTACCAACTTCCCTTGGTTGAAATAGTAATGGATAGGTTGCAATGGTATGACCATCACTTCCCTGCCACTATTTCTCTCTCTGTGTGTCTCTCTCTTTGTCTCTCTGTCTCTGTCTCTGTCTCTGTCTCTGTCCCCCCCCCACCTCTGTCTGATACACAGAATGATAAAAGACTGAGGAAGTCTTTCTTTAAAGCTTTCCTTCCACCAGTACCAAATTCATGGTAATTTCTCATGATATATGCAATAGCTCTCTCTTTCCATCCTCTGGTAGAAGAAGATTGTCCGAGTGACAGGGAATGGGTGGAAAAGGAAAGAGAAAGGGGTAAAATTATTTGAGTGAAAAATGGTTCTCGGGGAGAAATGCTCCAGGGAAGGCAGTACAGAAAGAAAAGTGTAAAAGAGCAGGTGTTCTTTGGGAGAAAAGATTCAAGGATGATTAAGATGGCAACATGTACATTCTCCGTGCCAAACATACCCAATTTTTTCAAGCTTTTCCTTTTTTTCTCACATTATCGCTTAGACTCAAATATGCTTTGGAGCCGCTGTAATTTTGTGAGAGTGGTGTGAGAAAGAGGCTTGTCTTAGACTTGATCTGGGTCATGTTAAAAATAGTTGCAGGCAGATCTCATGCTGAATATGTAACGTGTTTGTTTTGTGACAGAAATTTCAAGGAGACCCCTGCTGCAGCTGAATTTTTGGCAGTGCTTATCAATTAAGAACACAGCTTGTGAATCAATTAGGAAGGTGTCAATTATTATTCTTGCTGCGTTATGAGCGGTTTCCTATTAATGAATATTTTATGTTAGTTAGTTAGACTGCTTAATTAGGCAAGTTGTATTCACATTCTACTTTTTTTGACTGTAATAAAGATACATACAGACACATAACTAGAGTATTTGTAAACATAGCAATAGCGCTTGGACTTATATACTGCTTCACAATGCTTTACAGCCCTCTCTAAGCAATTTACAGAGTCAGCATATTGCCCCCAACAATCTGGGTCCTCATTTTACCAACCTTGAAAGGATGGAAGGCTAAGTCAATCTTGAGCCAGTGAGGATTGAACTGCTGGCAGTCAGCAGAATTAGCCTGCAGTACTGCATTCTAACCAGTGCGCCAAAAGGAAAAATATTCCCCCAATGACCCCTATTGTTTGATACTGTAGTTTACCCTTTGAACCAAAATGTTTATGTTTCTATTTTTAGGGCTTCCAGGACCAACTGGGAGACCAGGATTGCAAGGGCCAAAGGGGGAAAAGGGAGAGATTGGTGAAAAAGGACCGACTGGACCACCAGGTGAGTGGAGTGAGGAGAGAAGCAGCTACACTTATGGGAGGACAATATGGAGCCCAAGTTGGCCGATTCCATGATGATACTTGGAGTTGGGCTACATGTTATGTGGCAATTCTACAACTTCCAGATGAACCATATTCCCATAGTCCCCATCAGTACAGTGATTTAGATTACAGGAAGGGACTTCTGGGACCTGGAACCCTGCACACTCAAACACAAATCTTCAGTCTTGATGGCTAAAATTGAGTTTTCTTCTTGGCTATTTTTCCTAATCCCAATGCTTAACTCTTTATTAAAGCAGCTTGTTTCCAAAACTTAAAAACAAGTCTCGGTAATTTATTCCATTTGAGAATGTTTGTGTGATTTGTCCTAGGTCCTCATTTTATTGATGAACATCACATGTGCCATCAAAGGCAACATTTTCTCATCAGTAGTAGTATACTTTTTTTTTTTTTTTAGAACAATTTTGCCCTTAAAATCTGTATGGCACTCAATACATACGATAGAAGTTGTGGGGGGGAGCCATTGATTGTTTTTAATATTACTTCGAATCATATTTCTAAACTATTGGGATGTAAGCAATTCTATTACATGGGAAAGATTCCCTTGGTTTTTAGACTATGATGCCTGGCCTGGGGAGGTAGAAGTTGTATCTGGAGAACACTAGGTTGTAGAACAATGGTGCCATGTAAATAAACATTCTAATTCATCAATTGACTTGTTCCCAGATATGTGACAGCATAAGCATGCCTAGAAATTGGACAGAAAACATGTCCCCAAAATTTGAGAGGTATTGTATGGCCTCTTCTTACTTGGTATATTCCAGTTGTTTACACTTCGCAGTCTAAACAACTGGAATATAGAAAGAATTCATGAGTAAACCTCGTATACAGTTTTTGCAATTCCAGAGACCAGGGCTTCTAGATCTTAGCTCATCCAGGGTTTTTATCTGAACAGTTCAGAACCAGTCATTACATTTTTTTCCCCCTAGGATGGAGTGCTTCTCTACTTCGGGCAAAGAAGGGTGAAGGGGTAGTGGGGCAGGGCAATCTCACTAAAGGTTTTTGACCATATCATCTCAGAAGCTGCAGGGAATTAGCATGAAACAAGATCACCTCGACCACCTGGAGCACTAACCAGGAGAAGTATAATGAGCTGTGAGAATAACCTTGAGGAATAAGAGCAACCAAGGCAACTGTCAGAGAGATCTGAGTCCAAACCAGAAATATAATTTGAAAAAAAGTCTCAGACTTGACCCTCCCTAAATCTTTTATAGATAAAGATAGGAAAGGGGAGGTGGTTTCAGACAGTAACCAAAGTACTGTAACCAAAGTTATAAATTAGAATTAGAATAACAGAGTTAGAAGGGACCTTGGAGGTCTTCTAGTCCAACCCCATGCCTAGGCAGAAACCCTACACCACTTCAGACAAATGGTTATCCAATCTCTTCTTAAAAACGTCCAGTGTTGGAGCATTTACAACTTCTGGAGGCAAGTTGTTCCACTGATTAATTGTTCTAACTGTCAGGAAATTTCTCCTTAGTTCTAAATTGCTTTTCGCCTTGATTAGTTTCCACCCATTGTTTCTTCTCCTGCCTTCAGGTGCTTTGGAGAATAGTTTGACTCCCTCTTCTTTCTGGCAGCCCCTGAGATATTGGAACACTGCTATCATGTCACCCGTGGTCCTTCTTTTCATTAAACTAGACATACCCAGTTCCTGCAACGGTTCTTCATATGTTTTAGCCTCCAGTCCCCTAATCATCTTTGTTGCTCTTCTTTGCACTCTTTCTAGAGTCTCCCCATCTTTTTTACATCGTGGCAACCAAAACTGAATGCAATATTCCCAGTGTGGCCTTACTAAGGCATAAAGTGGTATAGATCACCACTTTATAGATCTTTATAGATCTTCACGTGATCTTGATTCTATCCCTCTGTTTATGCAGCCCAGAACTGTGTTGGGTTTTTTGGCAGCTGCTGCACACTGCTGGCTCATATTTAAATGGTTGTCCACTAGGACTCCAAGATCCTTCTCACAGTTACTACTATATACTGAATACTAAAATTACTTTTATCACAGGGTTACAGTAATAGAATTTTGCAAATCTGAATGTGTCTTCCCTCTGTCTGTTAAATATCTTCAGCCATCTTTGAAGTCCATTCCTCCAGCATAAGTGAGGATTTTGTCTCCTTGCATGATAACATGGCACTTAGCAACCAGATGTAAATGCGAACAAGTTGCCAAGCACCCAAAATGTGGTCATGTGACTGGGTGGGTGGGGAAGAGCAACACAACTTTTTACAATGGCTGGAAGTGCTTTATGGGCTGAAAAGCTCCTCTTTCGAGACTGCAAATGATCATTAAAGACAAAGGTTGACCTTTATAGTGCTTTGTAACCTTCCATGCTGGACTGAGGATGCTTCCCCATCCAGGCCAGCCATTCAGTCTTTCTGGAGAGGATTAAGAAAACGTCCCCTTCAAATTGAAGCTCACTTGAGCAACCTATTCTCCTCAAGTTGGTATATACCGTATTTTTCAGAGTATAAGACAAACCGGAGTATAAAATGCACCTTAGTTTTTGGGGAGGAAAATAAGAAAAAAGCTGATTGGCAGGTGGATTGGCCTCCCGAAATACCCCCAATCAGCTGTTCCCAGAGGTGAATTTTAGCAACAGGTTCCTTGGTTGTGAGCTCTGCGCCTTGCTTTTTTTTTCTGCCTGTGAAACTTCTGGAACTCTATTTCTGAAAAAACTTTTTCCTGCCTCTGAAAGCCTCCGAAACAGAGCTTCAGAAAAAAAGCCTCTGAAGCTCTGTTTGGGGGCTTCTTTTCTGAAGCTTCGTTTCTGATGCTTTTTTTCAGCTTCTGAAACCTGGTTTGAGAAGCTGGGCGGGGCTACATTTGGAATATAAGACGCATCCAGATTTTCACCCTCTTTTTTGGGGAAAAACGGTGCGTCTTATACTCTGAAAAATACAGTACTCCTGTACCATTTGGACCTTTTTTTTTTTTAAACAAGCTGTCTTATTTCTTGATTCTTAGTTGCTTTGTAGCTCAACTGGATGCACTAATACCCTTTTGCTCTGGTCTCCTGCTCACAGCCAGGACTTTCTCCACCAAGGTCTAGAATTGGCATGCAAAATATTTATGCTTGATAATCCAATGTTGGGAGGAAGTGGTTTGATAGACTGGGTGGGTGGGGGGAGCTGAATCATGCTTGGCCATGCCTTAGTTGTGACAGAAAGCTGTCCTTCCTTTATCAATGTTTCACATATCTCAGGCAAGATTTTTTTTGCATTAAGGAATAGGCTCTCTGACAGATGCCTTCAGGCTCAGCTTAATCCTCAGCAAAGCCAATGCGCTTCCAGTGCTCTGAGGAATCCTGACTCTTTCTTTGCTCTGAATTCTAGGACAACTTGGACCTCCAGGACCTAGAGGCTATCCTGGTGAGACAGGGATTCCTGGTCCACCGGGCCCACCGGGACCTCCAGCATCTCCAAATCTCCCATTAACATTTCAACAAGGAGTTCTTTACTCACTGCAGCCCAGTGGTGAAAAAGAAAGTAGGTCTACACATGGTTTGAAAATGAAATGCGTACCCAGTACACTGTATATGCATGTAAAGAGCTGTTGAGGCAGGGGTGGGCTGCTGGGGGTTCGCAGGGGTTTGGGAGAACCTCTAGCTAAGATTCTGTGCAGTTCGGAGAAACCCCAAATCCCACTCCTGGCTGGCCCCACCCACCCCTCCCCTCCCCTCCTAGGAGTCCCCACGCGGCCCGTTTTGGTTGCAGGTAAGTGCAGGGTGCGTGTGGAGGCTCGGGGAGAGTGAAAAATGGGCCGACTGGAAGTTCGGGAAGGCCAGAAACGGGCCTGTTTCTGGCCTCCAGAGGGCCTCCAGAGCCTGGGGAGGCTGTTTTCACCCTCCTGGAGGCTCAAGGAAAACCTCCGGAGCTTGGGGAGGGCAACCCCCCTACCATGGTGCAGGAGGCTGACTAGGTCACGCCCACCATGGCCACACCCACCCAGCAACCGGGCAGAGAACCCCTTGCTAAAATTTTTGAATCCCACCCCTGTGTTGAGGTATACTGGTGAAAGTCCTGAACTAGGAGGGAGGAGATCCAGGTTTGAGCCCTTCCTCAGCCACGGAAGCTCCTTGGTACCGGTTATTCATTGTCAACCCAATCTCCCTTACAGGGCTGCTGTAGGGAGAAACAGGAGGAAGAAATGTGTTGTGCTCCTGAATAAAAAAAAATCCCAGGAACTTTATAAATAATAACAAAGAAACAAATACATGAAACCTACTATTGCAAATAATAATAATAATTGTTGAACCAGAGATGGCCACCTAGGTAGTTATTGAGGGGTGAATGTTGAAGTTCTTGTTATTATTGCCCATTCTGGCATTTCCCTGCCATCTTGCTTTATGCCATCCCTCTTGCTTCCAACAATCCTGTCTTCTCTAAGTTTCTGCAAGCAGAACAAGAATGAAGAGATGGAAGAATATCCTTAATTTCTTTTGATTCCCCTCCCCCTTCCTCTGTGTGTGACCTGAACCTAGAGAAAGAGCAAAGAAGCGAGCTCTGTGCAGAGAGTAAGGAAGATGACCTTGAGGCAGAAGTGGTATTCAGCCGGTTCTGACCGGTTCTGGAAAACCGGTAGCGGAAATTGTGAGTAGTTCAGAAAACCGGCAAATACCACCTCTGATTGGCCCCACCCCCATCTACGCCCACCAAGCCACACCCACAGAACCGGTAGTAACAAATTTTGAATCCCACCACTGCCTTGATGAAGATATGCAAGATGCATTGCCAGGGTCAAGATCAACCACCCTTACTCTCTACATCAGTGTTTTTCAACCTTGGCAACTTTAAGATGTGTGGACAGCTAGGCGATTCTGGGAGTTGAAGTCCACCCATCTTAAAGCTGCCAAGGTTGAAAAATATTGCTCTGCATTATGGTGCCTTGAAGACTTCTCTTCCAAGCATTCTCTTTCAAAAAAAAAAAAAAAATCTCCCAGTGGTTTCTGAAATGAAAAAAAAGTGTTGGGATAGGGGAGCTAAAATGATCAAGAGACTGGATAAAGGTGATCCCCATTCTAAAAGCAAAAAAATGTTCAGGACTGTTTAGAAGGGCAAGGAAAGAAAACCATGATGGAGGGGACAGTGGCCATCCCCAAAATGTTGGGCTAGAATGCTTGTCTTGCTGCCCACTGATTGACAGAAATGTGGGTATGCCTGGATGTTAAAATGGAGAATTTTGTAGGAGCTTCAACATATTTATTCTTAACTATAAATTGGCATTTTATTTTTTATCATTGCTTGCTGCCCAGAGTTCCTTTGGCAGATGGGAAGCTATATACATTTGATTAATATATTAATTAATAAGCAACCTGGATTTCAAGGTTGTCTTGAGGGCAAGATGTTCTCAATCTCCGTGACCGAAGGGTGGTGAAGGTATGACAGAGAGGGAAAGAGAGAGAGCAATTGAGACGGAGACTATGTAACATATTTATTTCAATATTGGTCATTTGGGACAAATACAAAAAATATGATTGTAGTTATAATTTATGCCTTAAGGGTTACTGGAGAGAACACATGGGTGGGAGAAGGACCTGACATAATTCCCCTTTTTCCTCCCATTCAGGAAGACCACTTTTATCCTCTAGATTTAACAGTTTAACAGATTATCAGAGTTGGAAGGGATCTTGTAGGTCATCTAGTCCAGGGGTCACCAACCTTTCGGACCTCAGGGCCACTAAATTCATAATTTTAAATCCCACGGACCACTAATATGATCTGCCTAATGACCGGCTGGGTGGGCGTGGCTAGATGGTCATGTGGCTGGGTGGGCGTGGCTAGATGGTCATGTGGCTGGGTGGGCGTGGCCAACTCGATGTCATTCACACCGAGGGGCGCCTTGCCAGCCTCTACCTGCCCCTCCTCTCCCTTCCCCTCCCTTCTCGGGCTTCTTAGGGCCCCAACAGGAAGCAGTTGTTGGAGCTAAGCAGCCACCATGAGAAAGAGTTGGCAAAAGAGCTCAGTTCAAATTGGATCTGACCGAGAAGGAGGCTCAGTAGAAGTACCTCACTGAGGACTAGGAGCATAGGCTTTCCAAGCAGAGGGAAGACTATGGGAGTGCAAGGCCAGGTACAGGTGCCTGGAGGCTCAGCAGACTGAGATGGTCAGCCAGTTCCAGGCCGTGATGCAGTCCCACTGGAACAAGGCCCTTCAGCTCTTTGCCACCAACGGCACTTCCCTCCAGCCTTTGCCCAAAGCCCCGCATCAGGAGGCCAAAGCAGACCTCAAGTCAGAATTTCTCCCCCCTCTCTCTGATCCACACAAAAAGACCCCAAAGGGAGAGACTCTCTGCAGCAACACAAATGTTTGTTGCATGTATCCAGTCCAGAGGCCGTAGTTTGAGGACCCCTGATTTAGTGCAATACAAAAAATACAAATAATTTTTCTGCAGACCACCAAAATTTTCTTGCAGACCACTAGTGGTCCACAGACCACCAGTTGGTGACTGCTGATCTAGTCCAACCTCCCGCCCAAGCAGACCCTACACCATTTTTGACAGTGGCAATCCAGTCTCTTCTTGAAAGCTTCATCACTGGATAAAACTCCCACAATTTCCGAAGGCAAGATGTTCCATTGGTTGATTGTTCTCACTGTCAGAAAATTTCTCTTCATTTCCAGGTTGAATCTCTCCTTGTTCAGTTTCCATCCATTATTCCTTGTCTGGCCTTCAGGTGCCTTGGAAAATAGCTTGACCCCCTCCTCTCTGTGGCAGCCCCTCAAATATTGGAACACTGCTATCCTGTCTCCCCTGGTCCTTCTCTTCACTAGACTAGCCATGCCCAGTTCCTGTAACTTTTCTTCATATGTTTTAGCCTCCAGTCATCTAATCATCCTGGTTGCTCTTCTGTGCACTTTTTCTAGAGTCTCAACATCTTTTTTTTATAGTGTGGTGACCAAAACTGGATGCAGTATTCTAGATGTGGTCTTACTAAGGCTTTATAGGGTGGTATTAGTACCTCAGTTGGTCTTGATTGTATCCCACTGTTAATGTAATTTAGGATTGCATTGACTTTTTTGGCTGCCGCTGCACACTGCTGGCTCATATTTAATTGGTTGTCAACGAAGACTCCAAGATCCCTCTCGCAGTCATTGCTATTAAGCTTGGTTTCACCCAGTTTATATGTGTGCTTTTGGTTTTTCTTGCCTAAGACTTTACTTTTCTCTACATTGAATTTCATTTTGTTAGATAGGGGTTAGATAGATCAGTTGACCTCTGAGAGCTCCCTCTGAAGCACATCTTTGTGAGGCTTCCAGAATGGCTGCCTTTGTAGGTACATGTGATAGCCACCTCCCAAAGCATTTCTAGAAGGATCATCTCAGACCAAATGGCTTGGGCAAGCTATTCTAGAAAGCCTTGAACATTACCTTGAGTGCAGTAAAGCATTGGCTGCAGATTAGGAAGATAGAACTTGCCCTAACTCACTGTCTGTCCCTGTCTACCTCTTGAGAGTAGAGGCTAAGGAAGATGTTTGGCCACTTCAGCTTCATGGCCTTTTGTCCGCACAGTTAGTCCTTAGTTGTCACCTTCATCAATTTCCAGATTAACTCTTCTCAGAGAGGTGAAACCAACTTTTGGGATGCAATATGCTTTACAGAAGGGACGTGGTGGCTCAATGGCTAAGATGCTGAGCTTGTCGATCGAAAGGTCGGCAGTTCAGCAGTTCGAATCCCTAGTGCCGCGTAACGGGGTGAGCTCCTGTTACTTGTCCCAGCTTCTGCCAACCTAGCAGTTCAAAAGCACGTAAAAAATGCAAGTAGAAAAATAGGGACCACCTTTGGTGAGAAGGTAATGGCGTTCCAGGCGCCTTTGGCGTTTAGTCATGCCAGCCATATGACCACGGAGACGTCTTCGGACAGCGCTGGTTCTTCGGCTTTGAAACAGAGATGAGCACCACCCCCTAGAGTCAGGAACGACTAGCACATATGTGCGAGGGGAACCTTTACCTTTACCTTTTATGCTTTACAGAACCTGTTGCAAAACTTTAAGCTGCAGCTCCAGATTACTAACAGCAGAGGGAGGCAGAACCTAGGTAATGATGAAAAGGGTACTGCTAGTGGCAAACCATTGGTGACTCTGATTATGTGCTGTGATGATTATTATCAAGTTAGTTTTGGTTCTTAGCAACCACATGGATAGATTTCCCCCTCCATGATGTTCCTATCCTAGTCTTCTAGATCTTCCAATGGAGCATAACTGAGTCTTAACATTTTGCTGTTGGTGGTCTCTTCCTTCTACTTTCCCCAACATTGTGGACTTCTCAAGGGAGTAGATATTTGCATAAGGTATCTGAAGTATGATCATTTGAGCCTGTCATTTGTGCCTCAAATGAGAACTCTGGATTCATTAGTTTGTTTTCTTGGCTGCCTATGGTATTCTCAAGAATCTTTTCCAACCATCAAAAAACATCAATAGTTTTTCTCTCTTCCTAACCCTGGACCAACCTGTTTTTCAGAGGTTTTCGGCATGAAGCTGGTTTTTGCTTTCTCCTTTCGTCAGGAGAGCTCCGGGTGCATTGAGGCCATATCTCCCATCATTCTGAGCCATCACGGTGAAAGGTTTCTACTATCAAGGAATTCCAGGGCATCCCTTATGAGAAGGCCAGTCTAGCAAAAAGGACTTTTAAGCTATCTTGGGCAGCTTTTTGATGACAGCTGTAACTGGAAGGGTACCAACCTTAAGTCACATCACTTTACAGGATTTTATAGTTCTTTGGCTTAAATCATTGCTTCTTTCTGTTGTTGGGAGAAACCCAAAGAGAAAACGTTATTTTTAATAACTCAAATAGTTTAACTTGCTCTTTAACTTGGCTTCAATACTTTGCAGTATTCTTCTTTTTATTTGCACTTGTTGACCTGTTCTATTCTGCTTCATAATCCTCAATACATAAAACGTTGAAATTGGGATGTTTCCATCAGTATTGGTACATTCCTCTTTCATTACTTAGGAGCAGGAAGAAAAAGTTGATTTTGCAGCAGCTGCAGGGACACTAGGTGGTAGTCAAGGACCATGATGTAATGATCTTGGTGATGACAATAATAATATTGCAGTATCCACTTTCACCTGATAAACCAAATCTTGAAAAGTCTTAGTTCAAACACGAGATCTTGTAAGAGTTTGGCAATTTTTAAAATTAAGAGAAGCACAATACTGTGTGCTTTTTGAAGAAGTTGTTGACTCCTGGTTTAAGTCAGTGTGCCCAAAGGCTGGGAGAATTGTGGGAGTTGTTGTTCCAATACATCTGAAGCAGGGGTGGGTTCTACTTACCTTTACTACCTGTTCGCACCGGGATCACGCGCACCTTGCTTCTGTGCATGTGCAGAAGCTTCTGCACATGCACAGATCGCTGATGACAACATCCGGGGCAGTGGGCGGGGCCTCCCGCCGGTTTTACTACCGGTTCTTGTGAACCGGTCCGAACCAGGGGCAATCCACCACTGATCTGAAGGGAAAGTTGGGAAAGTTGAATCTAGGAATTGTTGGACTGTATATGGCAGGGGTGTCAAACTTGAGGCCCAGGGGTTGGATCTGGCTCGCGGGGTGTTTAGTTCTGGCCCGCGGGGCTGCCCTGGAAACAGCGAAGGACTGGCCCGCAGTGCCTCTGCCAGAGAACACGCACCTCGGGACAGCTGCATGTGGCACTCCCAAGCTCCGTCTTCGCTGGCACAGGGTTGCAGGAGGCTATTGCAGTCGAAAATGGAGCTCGCAAGGCAGGGGTGGGTTCTACTTACCTTTACTACTGGTTTGCAGCAGGAGCGCGCAGGCGTGCTCTCTTTGCTCGTGCGCACGCTTCTGCGCGTGTGCAGATGACCCATGATGACATGGCAGGTGGGCGGAGCCTCCTGCCAGTTTTACTACCGGTTCTATAGAACCAGACAGAACCGGGAGCAACCTACCACTGTCGCAAGGGCCGTGGGCGGCACTCCCAAGCTCCATTTTCGCTGCCAGTGGATTGTAGGAGGCCATCGCAGCCAAAATGGAACTTGGGAGCCCGTTTTCGCTGGCAGGATGCTCGGGCCACCACGGGCACCCCCGACACGAGTGACGTCGAACTCGCCACACACCCCTGGTCCCTCGAAGGTCAAACACAACCCTGATGTGGCCCTCAATGCAGGGGTGAAATGCTACTGGTTTGGACCGGTTCAGCTGAACTGGTAGTGGTGGTGGCGGGTGGTTCAGAGAACTGGTAGCGGCGGCCGCGCGAGGCTCTGCCCACCCGCCTGGACGTCATTACTTCTTGATTTTAATCCCTGCCTCAATGAAATTGAGTTTGAAACCCCTGGTATATGGCCTGACCATCTCAGTATACATCTCTTGGCCCAGACCTTTGTTTTACTTTGCACTTCAGGCCCTATAAATTCTTCTCTTTGATCCATGATCTATATGCCTGCTTCTCTTCACATACCCATTTCATTATTTTATTTTCTGCTGTTGACTTTAGCTTATCTCTCTCCGATGCTCTTTTTCCAACATTATTGAAGATTTCATTCTGGAAAGGAGAGAGGAGGGGGGAAAAATATTTTCTCTGAATGTTCATGGTTGGTTTTAAAAAGGAGAAACAAATAAGGGAAAACACCAAAGTAATACTCCTGTTTCCAGCCTGTTTGCTTTTTGATATGACTATTCCCTCTTTCAGTCATTCTTAGTTTCCCTACCAAGGGAAGGGAAGGTCCAAGACAGGAGGAAGATATTCAGAAGGACAAGGGAGAATAGCAAGATTGGGTGCTCTTTCAGAATTTATTGGCTTCAACACCTAAACACATACACATTACAGATAGTCCTCGACTTACAGTCGTAATTGAGCCCAGAATTATGGTCGTAAATTATGGTTGTAAAATCACTGCCTGCACCCAATTTTACAACTTTTTTTCCCCCAGCAAGCCCATTTTCCCCAAGTGGCTGGTTTTTGCTAGAAATAGGAAATCAGGAAAATCTGCTAAAAATTGCAGTCATGTGACCACGAAATCCTGCAAATGGCTGTAAATGCAAGCCAGCTGCCAACCGCCCAAAATGCAGTCATGTGACTACAGGTGTCTGTGTGTAGCTATCAGAACTTTGAAAATGGGTTATAAATAGCTCTGGGGAGGAGTCTGTCTTAACTTCAAACAGTTTCTAAGTCATTAAGCAAGGACTGCCTGTATTAAAATATAAAATTGGAACGCCCTCCAACAATAAGGTTCTTTTTGTTCATATTTTTTTTTTAAAAAAATGGGCCCGTTTTACACTTTCATAAAGTGCGGTAGAAGCCAGCAGTCTTAACATGATAGTACAAAAGTATAAGTCAGTTCAATATTATGGTAAAACATGGGAGCTGTGGAGTATATTACTTGGATACTGCATTAAAACAAAACTTTGGTACCATCACATAGGATTGCAGAGGAAAATCACTGTTTCGAAATCTTTTATTAACGGATAACAGCAGATCCATAACAAAAGGATGGAGAAAAGCTGCAGATGGGTCAAAGGGACTATTGCCTACCTGGGCTAATTTTGGAAATGAACGTTGGGTGTTCTTTTTAAGCCAGAATTCAGAAAGAGCAGAATGAAGATGGGGTGAATTTGCAGGACAGTGAACGAATGGAAAAAATGGAAAAAGAAGCATGCTAGTAATTATTCCGGTATTGTTCAGACTTGTTTTTTGTTTCACCAGAGGGCAGGGCTAGAAGCAATTAAAGGCAAATTACAGGGAACAGATTTTGGCTCAACTGTTAGGAGAAATTCTTACTCTAATGGTAAGAGATGATCGACAATGCAAATAACTGTCTGAAGACGTAAAGGGCTTCTTCCTCTCCTTGGAGGCTAGACAGCAAACAGTCAGGATTCTTTGGCTGCATCTTGTATTATACTATAAAACGTGGACTGAAAGGAAATAGAACTAAAGGACTGTCCAGCTCTGCCTTTCTATTTGTCTGCAGGGGAAATCACCAGATGGCACAAAATACAGTAACATGCATTTCATAATTTAGCACGTGCAATGACGTCTCGCCTCTTTTTCTTGCTAATACAGATGGAGAGCCACAGTTAGCCTCTACTGTCATTGACACTATATTGGCTGGTTTGCCAGGACCTCGTGGGGCACCAGGACCCATAGGGCTGCCAGGTAAGACAGATGGATTGATAGAAACAGAGGAATAAAGCAATAACTGTGTTTGAGACGCTCCAAGATAATCACTTCTAGAACCTGTTTACTTGACACACTTTATTATTATTATTTTTTAACATCCAACCCTCGATCTTTCCATCTGTATTCCATTTCGGAAAAATAAATGGGAAGCAAACAAAGTGGCAGCTTGAACAATCATCTTTATTTTCAAGAATGTTTCTGGGACTCAACAAGATTGCATAAGTGTTTTTGGAGGATAAGAATATGACAGCTGCAACTTGGAGCTTTGTTTCACAAAGAGGCAAGGTTAAGCAGAGAAAGGAAACATCCATCCTAGTAGAGAAGTGGTGCAGGAGGCTGACTAGGCCACGCCTACCATGGCCACGCCCACCCAGCAACCGGGCAGAGAACCCCGTGCTAAAATTTTTGAAGCCCACCCCTGAGCGTAGCCATTCGTATTCCTGTGGCACAGGGGCGGGTTCTACTTACCTTTACTACCAGTTTGCAGCAGGGCCGCGCGTGCTGTGAAGCGTTTTGATGATGTCGGGGTCAGTGGGCGGAGTCTCCCGCCGGTTTTACTAGCGGTTCTATAGAACCGGTGCGAACCGGGGGCAACCCACCACTGCTGTGGCAGCAACTTTATAAGTTATGCCCATGCGCTGTGAATGTACTGCACAGAACATTCCCACTCCCGGTTTTACAATAAGGGTGAATAAATTTCTTCTGCAATTTCCTTTGAGAGGTTGACATGGGCGGTGGGGGAGAAAAGAGGGCTTTCTTTTATCAGTTTGGAGGGATTCTTGTACAAAGCGTGTGCTTTAAGCCTACCAGAAGCGTAAACAACCTATTTGAGGTCTTAATTTAGTTAAAAAAGAAAGAAAAAGAAACAGTAAAATGCCGAAGTAAAGTGCATTTTACTGCCAAATTTCAGTAGTATAATCTTGGAGGGGTGGATGTCTACAAAATGGGTCTGCAGGAATCGTATGCAGCTGTGGCCTACGGATTGCCCGTGATTGTTTTACATATAGAAAAGAAAAACTCTCAATTTCCTAAAGACTGCAATTCCCAATCACACCCTTTGCCCTGTGTCAAAGAAGACTCCATCACCCAGGCCAAAAGTATTTTTTTTAAAAAAAAGTTAAATCAAGGCAACTTTATATACTTTGGCCCAGTTGCCCTCATTTGACTTTTTTTAAAAACGCCCTTTGCCCTCTTACCAGGGATGAGCTTCAGATTCTTTAGCAATGAGTTCGCTGCCCCGTTGCTGGATGGGCATTCCCATGGTAGGTGTGGCCTAATTGCCTGCACTATGGGGGGGAGGGTTGCCCTCCCCAGGCTCCAGGGGCTTTCCTTGAGCCCCTGGAAGGGTGAAAATAGCTTCCCCCGGAGGCCCTCCGGAGACCAGAAACGGGCCCATTTCTGGACTTCCAGAACCTCCGGTAAGCCTGTTTTTTGCCCTCCCAGACTCTCCACATGGCCCCTGCACTTACCTGGAATGATGAACGGGCCGCGTGGAGACTCCTGGGAGGGGAGGGGTGGGAGGGACGGGGTGGGCATGGCCAGCCAGGGGTGGCATTTGGGGGTTTGCCAAACCCCAGCGATCCTTGGCTAGAGGATCGCCCAAACCCTGCCCAACCCCTAGGAGCCCACCCCTGCATCTTACCCAACTACTGAAACTATCACTCCCACTAAACGGTAACAATTGTGAATTGTCTCCGGCTACCCAAAAGATGCCTAGCCCTCAAATCAAAAAAAAAAAAGGGGGGGGGCACAGAATCATAGAGCCACAGATGACAGCAATCTTTTCAGTCCACCCAACAATCAGGAATGAAATCACGATAGTTTAAAAAGCTCTTCCTTCCATTAGACTGGCCTGTAACTTCTAACTGTAATGTTCATTTCTTTCTTTTTGCTTTTTTGTTTTTTTGTTTTAAAAAAAAAAGAAATTGTCTTAAGTGATTTGTCTATGGCAGAGGCACTCAAAAGTGACCTCCCATCAGGATGACAAGACGTCCTTTCTCTTATTACCGCATTCCTACATTGAGCCTTCAGCTCATTTCATCCCAGACTTTGATATATGAGGGCTGCATTAATTATGGAGGCAGATTCAATTGCCCTGGTGAGCTGTCTGGAGCTCTTGGGGGTTTCAACTGAAACAATTAAGGCTAAGTTTGGAAGGAGCCCATGCCGGTCCCTCCCTCCTCCCCAAAGATTGGCAAGTGTAATTAATAGTCGGCGTCTGGAAGAAATTATATCACTCCTGTCCCCCCCCACCCCCTTTTTTTTTTCTTCAGGTAGGGTGAAGCCATTTGAAGGCAATCCCTTTACGATGCAGGCAGCATTAACAAGCAGATCAGTCCAAATGAGTCTTCTCCTTCTGCCAAGCAGTGAGCTTGCTGCATGCCAGGAAGAACTCAACGCTTGTTAGGAAAGAGACGGCGGGAAGTTCTCGCCTGTCTGGAGTCACAAGAATTCTCTAGGGCAGAGATTTGGAAGCTGGATCCAAAATTATGCCTGGCAAGTTATGTAGGTGGAGTCTAGATCTGTCACCAGTTCAAGGAAAGAGCACCTGCTTTGCTTGCAGAAACACTTAAGTTTCAGTTCTTGGCACTGCTTCCTAAAAGCAAGGAAGGTGTGCAGGCAACCTAAACCGCTCAGATTTCAGTAGAAAATTTGCACAGAAATCGCAAGCCATTTCCTGCTGCTTTCCAGGCATAAATCAAAACAAATTGGAGGGGTAAACTTTTCTTCAGGTTTAATACTACCCCTAGCCCAGGGGTCTGCAACCTTAAACACTCAAAGAGCCATTTGGACCCGTTTCCCACAGAAAAGAAAACACCGGGAGCCACAAAATCCTTCCTGTGCCTGACTATTTCTTGAGCAGCCACAAATCTAGCATATGTAGTTGAATTAAATGTTCTGTTTTCTTCTGAAACTTTTCTTTTCTTGGATTTCTCCCTGGTTGGCCTACCGGGGGTTGAAAAGCTCAATAAGTTGCACTTTTACCGGTGGGTGTTGCACATTGGCGGTTGTAACATATATTTTGAGTGACAGGGAGCCGCAGCAGAGGGGTGAAAGAGCCACATGCGGCTCCAGAGCCGCAGGTTGCTGACCCTTGCCCTAGCCCCTGTAATACCTTTAGATTTCCCAGTAAACCTCCTTAACCCTATCTAATTCAGAGGTCCTTACTGTATCACTGCTTGTTTTTATTCAGGCTGATTTAAAAATAAAATAAAATGAATCTTGCCTGCTCTATTACATCTTGCCAAAACTTGTTGCAGAATGGCAGAAATAAATAGACTTTTCAAATTGGTTTATTTTATTTTATTTTATTTGCAAATGAGCGAAATTAAAAGTTTGAGAGTTGATTATCCATCATTTAAATTTCTCCAGTCCCACGTATCAGCCATAAATAGGTTTCCTAGAGTGAAATTGCCAAACGCCACTTATATGAGAGCAGGGTCTGGTCTTTAAATGGGAAATACCATTGTATGGTATCTCTGTATTGTTACAAGCTTCCGAACTTTGCATGTCAAGCTCTAAATCCTATTTGCTCTTGACGGCTCAAACGATATGGAATGCCAAGTGTTATTAAATGTAAATATCAAGTGTGAAATAGGACTGGGATATTAACCTGAAGTTCTGACCATCAAAAGGCGAATCCAGTTCCTTGATGGGTAGGAACAGCCTATCAAAGTAAGCCTTTTTCTATCCGCCTCTTAGCTACAAACAAGCAGCAACTCTGTTTGGTTGTCTATCATTTGGATTTCTCCATTCCTGCATATCAGCCATCAATGGATATTCCAGAAGTGGTGTGTGAAATTTAAAGCTTCTAATGACTCTTTGGTGAAAGCTGAAAGGAAGTACCGACAATGGCAAAACAGATCCTTATAATAGAAAGATAGCACATCAAGATCATTGTCTATCCTTTTCCCTACACTGGTGTTGTTGTTGTTGTTGTTGTTGTTGTTAGTTGTGAAGTCGTGTCCGACCCATTGCAACCCCATGGACAACATTCCTTCAGGCCTTCCTGTCCTCTACCATCCTCTGGAGTCCATTTAAGCTCACGCCTATTGCTTCAGTGACTCCATCCAGCCACCTCGTTCTCTGTCGTCCCCTTCTTCTTTTGCCGTCAATCTTTCCCAGCATTAGGCTCTTCTCCAGTGAGTCCTTCCTTCTCATTAGGTGGCCAAAGTATTTGAGTTTCATTTTAATGAGACCCAAAGACCACTTTTTTAGATCCTCTGCACTTCTCCTCCAACAAAAAGGAACAGATAGATGAACCCTAGATGATGCTCTAACGCTTTCTTCAGAGTGGTGCCTTCAAATATATTAGACAAAAGGGGTTAATTAAATCATTTAAGACACTCAGGGCAGTTGGGAATGACAGAATTTGTAATCCAACCATATCAGGATATCGTTGGCTCAAGGAAAGCCTGGAATCTTGCAACTTAGTATTTGCATCAGAATACAGATGTGTGTTAAGTAATATGCAAATCCTTAAAATACATTAATACATTTTTTTCACCAGGCCCACCTGGATCTTCAGGCCCCAAGGGAGCACCAGGGCCAATGGGAGCACCTGGACTACAGGTAGGCAAACCATTTTCACCCACCTGTTGAGCCTTTTTGAGGTCAAATTAAAGTGATTTTTTTTTCTACTAAGCTTAACAAAAATTATTATTCATATTTCTTTTATTTGTTTTTTAAAGAGGCATGGTCGTAATAGCTTGATCTCCCTGATTCTGCCTTTCTGTACCAGACACGTGATAGTTTAACATTTTAAACTATGTACAATTTAGGAGTCATTAATCTCTGATACAACCCATATAGTTACAAGTATAGTTACAGGTATAGTTACCTATGACCACCTCTGAGTCCGTTGCGGCCAACCTTTCCAAAAGAGCACCCAGTCAATGTGCAATGTGTGGCCTTGTTACAGAGGCCACCTCGTGCCATTCTGAAAATGGGCATCGTTAGGGCCATCTCAGAAGAGCGTAATTTTCCAATTGGAGTGATTTGGAAAATCATGTCTTTTGAGAGATTGTAAGTGAGAATGGTCGTTGCTTACCTGAACGACCCTTTTGTACACGCTGTGAGGACACTCCTCAGAATGGGATGCGATCACTCCTATTCGCACAGCTGAGTGTCAATCAAATCCCTCTGGAGCTGCATCCACCTCACTTCCTGCTTCCTCCTCAGACTTTTCACGAAGACAACTTGGTTCAATAGCAGCAGGATCGACCGCGAGAAACTCCATAAGGAAGACCCACAGGAAGCAGACAGCTACAGAGGGAGAAAAAGCAGACCTCCACCAAAGCCAGGCACGGCCAAGAAAAAGGGAGGGACGGAGTGTCCTCACAGCGTGTACAAAAGGGTCGTTCAGGTAAGCAACGACCATTTTCCTACACGCTGCTCGGACACTCCTCAGAATGGGACATACCCAAGTTAGAGAAGAAGGGGGGGGGGACTTAAGCCGTAGACTGGACTTGGGGAGAGATTACAGCCTGTAATACCCGTCTGCCAAAGGCAGCATCTGCAGAAGCAAACTTATCCAGCCTATAGTGACTTACAAAGGATGAAAGGGAAGACCATGTGGCCGCCCGGCAAATATCATCTACTGAAGCCTGGGTAGCCCAAGCTGCAGAGGTTGCGGCGCTACAAGTAGAATGGGGCAGTATACCACCCGGGACAGGGGCCTCTCTTAAGCCATATGCCTTGGATATACAGGCTTTGAGCCACCTGCCTACTGTAGCTGAAGAAACCTTCTGGCCCAGGGAAGAGGGAAGGAAGGACACCAACAGAGCCTCAGTCTTTCGAAAAGGGGCAGTCCTTTTAAGATATCTTCTCAATGCCTGTCGCATATCCAAAGTATGCCACCGCTTTTCAGCAGGATGACGCGGGTTCGGGCAAAAGTTAGGCAAGACAAGTTCTTGGGCTCGATGAAAGCGAGTATTCACTTTAGGAACAAAAGCCGGGTCAAGGCGTAGGACAACCCGGTCAGGATAGAAGATGCAGAGATCACTCCTCATGGACAAGGCAGCAATTTCGGATACTCTGCGCGCTGAAGTTATTGCCAACAAAAAGGCCGTCTTTAAGGACAAGTAGCGTAGACTGGACGAAGCGATGGGTTCGAACGGTGGACCCGTCAGGGCCTGCAACACCAAAGTAAGGTCCCAAGTGGGGTAGCGGTGAATCGGCGGAGGCCGCAAGTTTGAGACCCCTTGGAGGAAGGAACGGATCCTGGGGTCCTGAGACAAAGGAACACGAGAGTCTCCTGACAGGACAGTCGCCAGAGCCGCCACCTGTCGGCGTAGAGTCGCGGGAGCCAAGCCCTTGGAGAATCCCGCATGCAGAAAACACAGAATGTCCGGAACAGAAGCTGTTGTGGGATCTACGTGATGATCCCCGCACCATCTCGTGAAGGCAGTCCATGAGGCGTTATAAATACGAATTGTTGATGGCCTTCGAGCTGCCTGAATAATGGAAATAACGTCGTCAGACAGATTGTCCTTGATGAGCTTTATGCGCTCAAATGCCATACGGCTAATCGAAGCCATTCTGGTTCCGGATGACGGATGGCTCCTTGAGTTAGTACTATTTTGTCGGGTGGAATCCTCCACGGTGGCTCGACCGATAAGTTCTTGAGGTCGGCGAACCACTCTCGACGGGGCCAATACGGTGCTACCAGTAGAAGGTTCGCCCGTTCGTGAATGACCTTCCGCACGACCTTGGAGATGACAGGAAGGGGAGGGAAGGCATAAAGAAGGCCCCGGGGCCACTGACTCCGAAGAGCATCCAGCCCCTCCGCTGCTGGACATGGATAGCGGGAGAAGAATCTCGGCAATTGGGTGTTCTGAGCCGTCGCAAACAGGTCCACTAGGGGAAGGCCGAACCTCCTGGACAGGTCCTGGAACAAGCTGGGGTCCAACTTCCACTCGGCGTGATCTATTTGGTCTCTGCTGAGCCAATCTGCCTCTCGATTGAGAGTCCCCGAGATGTGTTCGGCTTTTATTGACGAGAGGTGGAGCTCCACCCATGACAGAAGACGCTCCGCCTCCTGCATTAGTGTCCAGGAGCGGGTCCCCCCTTGTTTGTTGATATGGGCCTTGGTGGCCACATTGTCCGTTAGAATCAGGAGGTCCTGGCGATATACAAGGCGTTTGAAGTGTATCAGGGCGAGTCGGACCGCTCTGAGCTCTAGCCAATTTATATTGTGCAGCTTTTCCGCCGACGACCAGGCGCCTTGGGCCAGCTGACGGTCGAGGTGAGCCCCCCAGCCTCGCAGACTTGCGTCCGTGGTCAACACCATCCGAGCTGGTTCCAGAAAGGGGGAACCCTTGTTGAGGGCCGGAGACAGCCACCACCTCAGGGAAAGGCGAACATGAGCTGGAACCTTTACCTTGAGAAGAGACTCCGCTCGACCCTGTCTCTGGTAAGGGAGCAGGAACCATTGGAGGTGACGAAGATGGAAACGCGCCCACGGAATAATGTCTATGCAAGATATCAACTTTCCCAGAAGCTGGGAGAGAGACAGTAAGGTCACAGTCCGGTGTAGTAAACCTTGAGATGTCAGGTCCCGAATGCTGGCTTGTCTGTCGGGAGATAGGGAGACCACACACAGCGTCGAATCTATCGTTGCTCCGAGATGAAGGATACTCGATGTGGGAACAAGATGGCTTTTGGCAAGATTCAAAGTGAACCCGTGGTCTTGAAGGAACTGAAGTACCAGCTCCCGGTCCTGGGTCGCCTGTTCGGGAGAAGACGACAGGATCAAAATGTCGTCGAGGTAACATGCCAGACGAACCGGAACCTCTCTGAGCGACGCCGCTACTGCTGCTAGCAACTTTGTAAACGTCCTCGGAGCGGACGAAAGGCCGAATGGCATAGCCCGATATTGAAAGTGGTGGTCTCCAAATGCAAACCGGAGGAACTTCCTGTGCGACTGATGAATGGGGATGTGCAAGTACGCTTCCTTGAGATCTACAGATTGCATCAGATCTCCCCGACGAATGCAGCCCAGCAGAGACTTGAGGGAATGCATTTTGAACCGGCGGTACAAGATGTGTTGATTGAGACGTCGAAGGTTCAAAATGCCTCTCCAATCGCCCGAGGATTTCGGCACCAGGAATAGTGTTGAATAAAAGCCGGTTTTGAGTTGACCTAATGGAACCTGTTCTATGGCCTGGATTTGCAACAGATGGTGAATCTCGAGCAACAGAAGAGATCGCTTCTCCGGCTGAAGTGGCCAAGGGCATTGAAAGTAAAAGTCCTGTGGCATGGTGGTGAATTCCAAACGTAACCCTTCGGTGACAGTTTGGACAATCCAGGCATCCGAGGTGGTAGTTGGCCACAGGTGAGAGAATGCCTGGAGCCTGCCCCCGATTGGGACCGGAGGCGGCGAGTCACTTACCGCGCCTGGAAAAACGGCCCGCCGACTGTCTGAAAGGTCGCCTGAAGTTGGATTGTTGGCGACCGCGGTCACGAAAGGGCGCCCTGTCCGAAGTTGACTGGTACTGAGATTGCGAAGATCTGTAGTAAGAGGCGCCCCCGGCGCCTTGCTCTTGACGAAAGGGCAGTCGATTATAAGGTACATAGCGCCTCTCCTGGCGTCGGAAAGACGTGGGTAACACCTTCTTCTTATCCCTATTCTCGACCAACACAGAGTCCAGGGATGAGCCAAATAAGGCAGGGCCTTTGTAAGGGGCCGCAGTCAAGCGCCACTTGGACTTGGCGTCAGCTCTCCAGTTACGAAGCCACAAGAGACGTCTAGAAGATACTGTCGAAGCTAAGGCCCGGGAAGCGAATTTGGCTGTGTCCAAGGACGCATCGGCTGAATATTCAGCAGCCGCGACCAGTTTGGCCAGGTCCTGCTGTAATCGTGCATCCTCCGGGGGAAGTCTGTCCTTCAATTGACGTAACCACACCAGCGACGCCCGATTAAAAAATGATGAAGAGGTTGCAGCACGAATGGCCCAAGCCGCCGCTTGGTGTGTTTTACGAAAACCCATTTCGGCCCGTTTGTCCTCAAACTTGAGGCCATCCCCCGCTTCACCTACCAGGATGGAAGACGATGTGAGACTCGCCACCGGATCATCAATTGTAGGCAACTGCAAAAGGGCATCCAGCGCAGGAGCCGAAGCATAGAGCTTTCGATCAAATGAATTCGGACCTGACGACGAGGCGGGGCGGTCCCAAGGCTTTTGAACAACCTGGCAAAAAAGATCTGGACAGGGAACAAAATCCTCATCAGGTTGAGGTAAATTGAACAAGTTACTACTGGGACCAGATGGAGTAGAAGAAGAGGAACCCTGAAGAGGAGTGGACTCCATATTAGTGGCAGCTTTTGCCTTGCGTAGGAGAGAGCGAAACAAAGAAGGTTTAAATAGTCCCGGAAAGGCCGGCTTGTCCTGAATCTCTTCTTCATCCTCTGACATCTCATAATCTTCTAGGAAATCATCCTCCCGGGCTGATTCAGGCACAAGGCTACAGGCAACAGATTGCTGCTGATGTTGTGCACCAGGGGGATGCATGGAAAAGGCAGAAGTAGTAGGGCACATAGGAGCAGGGAAGGCACCAGTGGCTTGTTGCAACCCCATTTGATACATATGGGACATGGCCTGAGTAAAAAAGGACTGAAAATCCACAGGCTGAGGGAACCCTGGGCCCGCTTCAGGGCGGAGGCCTGCTGCAGTGGGTGTAAAGGTAGCTTCAGGGCCTGGCCTGGAAGCTTGAGAAAAATGGCTTGCAAAACTAGAGGAGCGGGACCTAACACTAGCCCTTGACTGATTAGTCGCAGACATTGGAGCCTCCTGAGAGGTTGATGGGCCATCCTCCCTCAGACCACTGACCAACAATTCTACATTATGAGAGGCCGAGGGCTCACAGGTCACCTCATGGCTCAAGCCTTCAGGAATTGGTCCTTGACCAGGGTCCTGGGCCCGTTGCCTAGCCTTAGCAAACTGCTTTTCTAATGCTTTATGCCTCCTTTGGGCATCTTTATCTGCTGTGGCAGATTTGGAGGACTTTGTCTGCTTGGAAGCCTTAGATTTCTTCCCCCTGAGCTGTCTAGGGGAAGGTACTGGGGAGGGAGAGGGACTCCTGTCCATATCAGAGGAAAGGGCACCTTCCTCCCTGTCATCCATGATCAATCACCCCAATGAATTATTAATTAATTAATTAATTGATTGTAAATAGAAAATTATCAATTTTATATATATGATTGAATATTAGTAATATAATTGTAATATATATATATATATATGCTCTGTTATTATTATTATTTCTTTTCTTTTTTTTTTTTTTTTTGTAATAAATGCACTAAGTATCTACAACCAAACCAGTCTATCAATATAACAAGGCAACGGCCCTTTTTTTTTTTTTTTTAAATAAGAATGTAAATTAATTTAAGCAATATGTACTTCCCTGGAACTTTCAGGCACTCCTCTACAGGCCGTTGTGAAATGCAGGTACAAGCAGGACAGCGTCCCCACCTGCCAGTAATCTAGCGACCCTGGAAACCAAAGCCCAGGTCGCTATGGCCACGGAGATCCAAAAGCGGTGCCGATGATCAGGGCCCAAAATGGCGGCCCGCGAGGCGAATTTCCAGAAGTCCTGAGCCAGGCGAAACAAAGCACCTGCGGCCGGACTGAAGCTGCAGCAGAGGGAGCAGTCACAATTTTCAAGACAGCTGATGAGTATGCCAGCCGGCAGGGACTCAAGCCGATCGATCAAATGGCCACTAAGGCAAACCAGAGCCTCGCAAAGTGACTGGCAGCAAAATGGCGGCAATGGCGGCAAACGGCGGGAAAAAATAGCTAGAATTAAAGCGCCAGCCAAGCCAAGCCGCAAGCGGCGGCCGGAGCCCCGAACCGCCGCTACGCGCTTAAAACCTCTCCAAGCGAAGGCAAACGAAGCGCAGCACCTTTAAACAGTAAATAAATAATATTTAGCCAATTCAGTAAAGTAAAAAGTAATTTAGGAACGAAATGTAATCAAGAGAACAGACACTCGATGCTATTGCAATGGCTGAGTGAAAAAGTCTGAGGAGGAAGCAGGAAGTGAGGTGGATGCAGCTCCAGAGGGATTTGATTGACACTCAGCTGTGCGAATAGGAGTGATCGCATCCCATTCTGAGGAGTGTCCGAGCAGCGTGTAGGAAAATTAGAAGCAGCTGCTTCTGGAATGGCACGAGGTGGCCTCTGTAGGAAGGTCACACATCGCATTGACTTTCTCTTTTGGAAAGGCAACCTTCAAAGGAGGTCAGCGGAGCAATGCTGGGACAGGGAGGAGACCCAAGGCCTCTCAGGGGTCCTTCAAGGGAGGATGTGGGCAGTTGCAATGTCCCTATGGTCAGTCGTAAGGGCAGATGGAGTTGCTAAGTGCATGGATTTTCATCACGTGATTGCCGGAGTGCTGCAATGACTGTAACTTAAGAGTACAGGACATTTGTCCTTTCATTCAGCACCATTGTACAGATAGTTCTCGACTTACGACCACAATTGAGCCAAAATTTTCTGTTGTTAAGTGAGAGATTTGTTAAGTGAGTTTTGCCCCATTTTACAGCCTCAGTTGTTAAGTGAATCACTGCAATTGATAAGTTAGTAATCCAGTTGTTAAGTGAATCCATTGGCTAGCCTATTGACTTTGTAAAGTCAGAAACGTTGCAAAAAATGATCACATGACCCTGGGACACGGCAGCAGTCATAGATATGAACCAGTTGCCAAGCATCTGAATTTTGATCACATGATCATGGGAATGCTGCAAAGATCATAACTGTTTTTCAGTGCTGTTGTAAATGGACTGTTGTAAGTCAAGGACTACCTGTAATTTCACTCACTGAACAAATGGTTTTAAGTTGAGGACTACCTGAACTTTTTCAGCAATGCAGAAGTATTGCTAGTTATTTGGCTTAAAGACGGAGAAAAGCACCACATACTATGTAAAACCAGCATTTATAACATAGATGTCATAGGTAGGTGCAATTATATTTGCAGGGCATGGTAAAACCCAGGCAAGATAAGTGTGTGATTTTTCAAAAGGCAATATTTTTTACCTATAAAAAGATCCAGCACTATGCATTAATATGACAGAGTGATATTATCTGTGATAATACAACAATGTCTTGTATTGTTTATATTACAGTAGTGAATTCAACCAGTGACTGTTGATAAAACATAAGACATAATTATTGCTGAAGGAGCCATCAGAGATTACAGTTTTCCATAAGCAATGTATCTTTTAATGCAACATTTCTCAGTCTGGGCTGTTTTAAGATGTGTGGACTTCAGCTCCCAGAATTCATTCAGGCTGGGGAATTCTGGGAGTTGAAGTCCACACATCTTAAAACAGCCCAGGTTGACAAACGCAGTTCTAATGTCTTTGCTTTCCATCAGGGCACTCCTGGTTCTCCTGGACAGCCTGGGCTGAAGGGCCCAAAAGGTGATCGGGGCGAAAGGGTAAGCCAAGTTTTAGATTTGTGCCAGATCACCGGTGCGGATCAGCAGATCCCTTTTATGCATTAAAAATATGAATTATGAACTTCAGGGCAATGTTTATGTCAATGGACATAATTGGAATTTTGGAAGCATGTTTTAGGCATGCTCACATAGTGATTGTTTGGCTGGCTTGCTCACTTAAGAGTTCCTTCATCTACACCTTTGTTTCTCAATCTTGGCAACTTTAAGATATATGGATTTCAACTCTTAGGATTCAGCAGCAGACATGGCTGGCTGAGGAATTCTGGGAGTTGAAGTCCACACATCTGAAAGTTACTAATGTTGAGAAACAATGCTCTACCCTTTCTTCACAACTGACCTGTTAAAAGATACGGGCAACTAGATTTACCCCTGAATGAATCACAAAGCGCTAATTCTTTTTTTGTTTCCATTTCCTAAAAATTCAAGTGAGGCTCACATGAAGCCCAGAAATATTTATAGAAATACGGATTAAATTGGAGGCTATTGTTGATCTTGCAAAGAACTAGCTTGCCATCTTTTAATTAAAAGAGTGAGGAGGAAGTCTTGCTGCCATCAAAGATGTTTCCTGTAGGAACCTTCATGTTACATGATGCAATTGTGATATCAGGCTGACTAATTCCACACAGTGTTGGCATACGTCATAGGCTTGCATATTGCTTGCTATTTGGTAACTATACAATGCAGTAGTGGGTTCCACTTAACTTCGCTACTGGTTCGGAACTGTGAGCGTGCGTGCGTGTGTGCCTGCTTTGCCCGTGTGCACATGCACAGAGCATTCGTGATGATGTCTGGGTGGGTGGCGGAGCCTCCTGCTGCCGCCGCCGCCACCACTACCGGTTCGTCCAAACCGGGGCGAACCGGTATAAACCCACCACTGTCAACACCTCAACTCACAGCTCAACTCATTCTCATCGTTATCTTTTTTTTTTTTTGTAAAAAGTTTTTCTTTATTTTTTACACATACACACACACAAACATACAATGTATTTTTGCTGATCAGAGTATTTGGCCGGTTAACAAATTTAAACAATTTTTAATCTTTACAATTAAAATTACTGTTTCTAAACCTCCTTTTTGCATTTTCATCTATTTTTTACCAATTTTACCCTTCATTTTCATCTCTAACTTTAACCAAATTCCAATTTTCCCTTCTAGTCTATATTAAACTCCATCTTATTGTCATCTGTTTTTATATCCATCATCAGAATAATTAATTTTATGTTGTTACAATTGTTCAGTTCTTATAGGAATAATGAGCCCACTTGTTTTATAACTTACATTTTCTTAAGTAATACATCCAACATTTTAATATAATCAGTTACTTATATAAGTAATTTTTCTATTCATATATTCAAACACTTAAAGAAAAAAAAAAGAATATAAACATGGCTATTCCAATTAGTTCCATCTTCATTCATCAAATAATTTCACCATATGTTCCTCTGAACCACATCTTAATCATCGTTGTTATCTGTAGTGCAAGGGAAACTGTCATTTGTGATATCAGGAGCTCTAAATTCCCCTGCCTGCAGGGAGTCCTCGAGTTGTAACCGTAATGGACCCTGCCCATCACTGTCGTAAGACGCGACAGACATAAATCGGGTCAGCCATATGACTGACCCGATTTTATGAGCTTTTTTGCAATGGTTGTTAAGTGAACTCATAGCAATAGCAATATAATTTTAGGCCTATATACCACTCCATAGCTCTTTAGAGCAGTCTCTGAGCAGTTTAGATTTAGAATAACTTTATTGTCACTTTGAATGTACACTAATCGGCATACATTAAAATGAAATTTTGTTGCATACAGCTCTCAAAGGGACCACCTCCAATATGCACTACATAAACATGACTAAATAAATAAACGAATACAAAAGTATGCATATACTCACATATATTATATGACACAGAGAAACAGCACATTCTAGTTTGGATGTATACATGTACATGGCGAAAAAACGAATCTTTCGAGTTTACCAGACGGATGGCATAGGGAACAAAGCTGTTACAGAATCTGGTAGTCCTGCTAAAAATACTTCGAAACCTCCTCCCAGAGGGGAGCAACAGAAACAGACCCTGAAGTACAAGGTAAAAGCATTATTTGCATACTGCCCCCAACAACTTGACTCCTCATTTTACTGACCTTGGAAGGATGGAAGGCTGAGTCAACCTTGAGCCCCGTCAGGGTTGAACTCCAGGCTGTGGACAGAGTTTGCCTGCAATATTCCACTTACCCACTGCACCACCAGGGCAAACTCATGGTTTTCTATGAACTGGGGGAAAAAATGCTTTTAAAAGTCTCCGATGATCCCAGCTGAGTTGCCTGATCGTCAGAAGCTTTTAAAAGCATTTTTTTCTGCAACCTCTTCGGTCGAAGAGGTTATAGAAAAAATGTTTTTAAAAGTTTTAAAAAAAAAAAAAAGTTGGCCACGCCCACCCAGTCACATTACCCACCCCCCAAGCCATGCCCACAGAACCGGTAGTAACAAATTTTACATTTCACCACTGCTGCAAATGGCAGTAAATGTAACCCAGTTGCCAAGCTTCCAAAGTGCGGTCATGTGAATGCCGGGGATGTGCGTGTGTGACCTTTGGAACTTTGAAACTTGGTGTAAGTACCCCCATGTCAGAACTTTGGATGGTTGCTAAGCAACTGATCATAAGTCAAGGACTATCTGTATTCAACAGATAAAATGAAATGTTTAAAAGAGTATTAAATACTGAGGCAAAGCATCAATCCAGATTTAGAGGGGAAGAAGCAATCAGGCATTAACTGACCACCCATTCACTGAAGTGTACACTGTACTTATTGGCACCACATTAAATCAAATGCATCATCACTGGTGTAGCAAAAACCCAGAAAAAAAGTACACTTCTGTAAGGACTTACCAACTGGTATGAGGCCAATACTTCCATGCATACCAAATCACCATTTCCTCTTTGAATCTGGATTATAGCACAGTCTAAGGAAACTCGGTGGTATATTTACTGTCAAATATAATTTGGACCTATAATACACTTAATGACATATATAGTTTGGTATATCTGAGACGATTATAATATCAGGAGAAGGCCCTTAGATGAAAAATGGCACTTGAGGCAAATTCACGTGGAAAAAAGTTGTTCTCCAAGTAGGTGTGCCTTTACTATTCCATTCTTCAGTTCGGTAGATCTCTCCTGATTGACCAAAAAGGGAGTAGCTTCAGGACTTTCATAAGCTCTTGTGAAAGGAAATTAAGAAAATTTGTTTAACAATCAGGGGATGCTCAAAAGAAGATTCCAAACGGAAGAAATTCTGTTCTTCTTCCATTGGTCAACGTGGAAAAACAGCCAATGCCATTGGAATGTATTGATCCCCGTACACTTCAGAACAAAATACAATGTATATTAAAACCAATGTACATTAGGCCCAAGAACTGTACATTCTACTACACCAATTTTAGTGGTTGGGGTGCTGGTTTGGAAATCAGGAGACCATGAGTTCTAATTCTTCCTTAGGCATGAAAGCAAGCTGGGTGACTTTGGGCCAGTCACTCTCTCTCAGTCCAATCCACTTCACAATGTTCTTATGGGAAAAATAGAAGGCAGGAATATTTTATTTGCCATTTTGAATTTGATGTAAAAAAAAAAACGTTAAAACGCTGAGATAAAAAACTAATAAAGATAACATTTTTTCCAAGGATCACGAGGTAGCGAGCCATCTCTATAGTTCCTTTAGTGTCTGAACAGCATTGCCTCTTTAGATCTTGAAATCACCTTTGCTGGCATTTTAAAAAAGCCTTATAAATACACGTTTTGAGCGGACTTTTAATTTTTGTTGGATTTTAATGCTCACTTATAAATTTAGGATTTTTACTAACTGTTTGAAGTTTTTATTGAAAATTACCCTGAGGTATGGTAACTCACAGTTTAAAAAAAACATGAGAAGAACAATAATACAAATAAGCAAAAGGATCACAGAATTGGTTCCCAAAACCTTAGTTATTTCTTTTTCGAAAAGGTATCTCGGCTATCTCGTATCAAAACACTACATTTAATCAGTTTCATTTAATGTTGTTCGAAAGACTTTCGATTCTACATCCTGATGCTCATCTATCCCTTCTCTGATCTATCTTCTTCTCATGTAAACAAACAAAGAAACAAATTGCTTTAGCCACTAACCTAGCAGCTGGACTTTCCCATTAATTGATTTTACTTCTGACAGGGGCCAGCGGGGCAGACTGGTGAAAGAGGCATTAAGGGTTTTCCTGTAAGTGATTTATTTATGTGTGTCCATGTATGTTTTCGGCTTAATTTCACCCAAGGCATAAAGGTTGAGGTTCTACAGCACCCCACAGCTGAGATGACACCATAGCCAACCTTCCAATAAGCCAGGGATCTCCAAACGTGGTAACTTTAAGGCTTGTGGACTTCAACTCCCAAAATGCAGGCTGAGGAACTCTTGAGAGTTGAAGTCCACAAGCCTTAAATTTGCTGCATTTGGAGACCCCTGCAATAAGCTCCAGGGGATCAAATATGGACTGGGCCACACAACAAGATGAACATAAACAGGATCCTTCATTTGTCCCACTGCACAAGATCAGAAACAGGCTAGCACCCTCTATAGCAGGGGTGTCAAAGTCAATTTCATTGAGGGCCACATCAGAATTGTGTTTGACCTCGGGGGGCGAGAGGGCGGGATGGGCATGGCCAGCTCAATGTCTCTCATTGAGGCTCCATTTTTGGCCGTGACAGCCTCCTGCAGCTCTCTGCCAGCAAAAATGGAGCTCGGGGAGGCCGCTTCATTTTAGCTGGCAGAGGGCTGCAGGAGACCGTCACAGCCAAAAACAGAGCCTGGGAGGGCCGTGCACAGCCCTCCCGAGCTCCATTTTCACTGGCAAAGGTACCATAGGCCAGTCCTTTGCTGTTTCCAGGGCGGCCCTGCGGGCAAGATCTAAGCACCCCGCCAACCAGATCTGGCCCACAGGCCTTGAATTTGACATACCTGCTCTATAGCATGACCCTTGTTCACAGCTAATTTGTGCCAGGCAGTCTTTGCTTCCTCACTTCACAAACACTCAATGGGTAGGTTTCAGGGAGAAGTACATTGCCTCTTTTTCCAGCCAAATCTTGGTAATAAACGTCATAAACATGACTGTTATTCTTCTACATAGAACTGGCAACATCTTGATGCTGAGGGAAGCCACAATTCGGCCACTTAGGCACTGGGCTGAGGATGCTGAGCTGGGAGAGAGATGAGTGTCAAATTGCCTGTTACTTTTCTCCTCTAATAGTCTGCTCAGCTCTTATCTCCAACCCATTATTACTTCAACATTCACCCTCCACACTACCTCCTCTTAGTTCTTCCTTGTTTCCCCTATTAGCTGCAGGAGTCCCAAAAGCCATCCTCCCCTCCCAGCTCACATTCATCCCTCTTCCATTCACACATCTTTCCATTCCCACTCTATCCATATCTGATCTAACCACTCTGCCAATCCCTTGGTGTCAGGACTCTTCTGGTCCCAGAAGCAGAAGTGCCTCATCTCTTCCCTCTCATTCCGCCCATTATTTTTAAAATATCCTGTGACTTTATTCACTCACTACTCATAGTGAGGAGTCCATAGTGGGACACCAGGAGTCCCAGCCACCCCTTAGGTTCTCCCAGATTAGGTGTGCTAACCTCTTTCCTATCTCACCCAGGCCAGCATCTTTTTGATGTTAATTGATTATGCACAGATTATGTCACACCTGTTCCTCTGTGGCTCCATTCAGTCCCATCCTCATCATTATCATGACCCTCTTGAAGGACCCATAACAATTGCCCAAAGTCTCCTATTTAGTGTCTGTGGCTTGTATTTAATGACTGCTTGCAGCCTCAGGACAATGGTCTAGTCTTGGCATCCAAAATGGCCTCCTCTCTCCAAATTGGCCTCCAAAATGGCCTCCGCCCTGGGGCACTAATCTAAATCCCCATCATCCCCTTACTGTCCATAGACCACTTGTCAGGGTCCTCTACTGTCCCATCATTCACTTTCTGGATCACTGGATAGTCTTCATTGTCCCACATTGTTTCTCGTAGCACTAGATTTCATTCTCTAATCCCGTTTTACTTTCTGTCACATCCCTGTCCAGTACAGTTGGACAAATCTGTTCCTTTGTCCAGCTCCTCTGCACACTTATGTCACCACTATTGAAACTTTGAATCGGGGTCATAAGTATCTTTTGATGGGTCTGTTGTAACTTCCAATGGTTGCTAAGCAACCAGTCATAAATCAAGGACTACTTGTAATCAATGGTGATTTGAAGGCACGAAAAAGAGAAAAAAAATCTATTTATATCTACTTTTTCTCCTATCACTTTACTCAGATTTGTAGAGGCTGGAATTTTGGGATTTCTAGCTTAAATACATCCAGAGGACCTTAGATTAGAGAAACAACACAGAAAATCATGTAAAAGTGAATTCTTCCATTTTTTTAAAAAATAACCTCTACCCGTTTATTAACTTTCTGCCTCTTTTTTTTGTCACTGGCAAAATCTCTTTCCATCCTTCGCATTCGGAGTTTTTCCAAGGACAGCCATCGGAGCCAAGTTTCTTCTGGAACGTCCTGTTACTCAAGCCAGCCCTCTGTTTTTAATCCAATGCTTTTGTTTGTGGAGAGCTGCTTCTTGGGTGGTCCAGGAGATAATTTTAAAGTACACCACTAATGGATAGCGTATTTCAGGAAGAGATCAAAGCCGATGCGTATTGTTAATGGATTTCAGATCCCACACTTGTCCCTGGAGTGGTGTTTCAATAAGCCAGGTGTACCTGTGCTGAAGCAGCTGACCACAACCACTGTTGGCTCTAGAGGGAGCCTCCTAAATGTTATTGGCAAGCCCTATTATGGCTTGCTTGGTTTCATGGCTCTACCCATTAAGTTTGTAACCCCTGCCTTATTCAACAACCAATAAGCATTAACTAAGCTACTTAAGGGTTTCCTTGGAGAAGATAGACTAGCTTTCTCCAGCCAATGTTGTAGGAACAGCTGATGAAAGCGCTTCAGGAAGAGACAACATTGGGGAATGTGGAAGGAGACTAAGATCTTGAATCATAGCTCATAGCATGGATCTATCCCTCTTTACTACTGGAAAGACACTGTTGTCAGTTTGATATCAATATCTGTCTGCTTTTTTTTTAGGGTGAACCTGGTAAGAAAGGTGAAGAAGGAGACAGAGGTGCCGATGTAAGGATGCAATCAACTTTTCTGAATCATGTCAACAGTCTCTCCTTGTACTGCTGTGTAACATTTATCTAGCATTGATAGTATCTGCCTGACTAGGTGGCTTAGTGGCTAAGACACTGAACTTGTCAATCAGAAAGGTCGGCAGTTCAGCAGTTCGAATCCCTAGTACAGGTCTCCTGCGTGAGCAGGGGGTTGGACTAGATGACCTCCAAGGTCCCTTCCCACTCTGTTACTGTTAAACCTATCTAGTATCTAACATTATCTACTCTCTCAGGTTCAGAAGCCTGTTCTCGGCGTTCATCCAAAGGCCAGCATTTTAAGCCAAACTTCTCGGAAAGTAGGAGAGATTCTTTAATATTTCACATTCTGGAGGGCTTTCCTTGACAAGTGGTAAAGCAGCGCGTGCTTCTTTGTAAGAAACTAAATCTGACACCATTTGTGGTAAATGAGGTGACAGAGACCACCTCAGACTTGATGGCATTTGATGTAGGAGGTTCACTTCCTAAAAACTCTTCTTCACAATCATTGAAAACTCAGACTTCCCAGTTAATTCAGATTCAGTAAATTCCCTGATTGTGGAGTTGGCCACTCGGGGAAAGGCAAACATCTTAGAATTAAATATAAATCTGAGCAAGTGATAACTCTGTGTACACCATTTTTTGTTTTTGGATTAGGTTTTGGTTCAGTTTCAAGCAGTGGTGGGATTCAGCCGGTTCGGGCCAGTTCAGGCGAACTGGTTGTTAAATTGCTGGCAGGCCCTGCCCCATCACACCCTTTCCAGGAGTTCCCATGCGCCCCGTTTTTGTTACCAGGAGGTTGCAGAGAGGCCTACTAGGCCCAAAACGGGGCACGGGGGGAGGGGAGTTTGCGGTGCCCCCCCATGGCCTGTTTTTGCTCCCGGGGGGGGGGTGCAGGAGGCCGAGTGCTGCCTGCCACACCCCCTGGCCACGCCCACCATGGCACGCCCACCAGACAGTCATTAGGGCAGAGAACCGGTTGTTAAATTATTTGAATCCCACCACTGATTTCAAGTCACCTCCAGACACTAATTCAGAAGTTCCCGTCTCTGTGGAAGAAATAACTGGAAATGGGTGGGGGTGGGGGTGGGGGAGAGAATGGGTGCCCTCTGCATATTAATTGTAATTCATTTTGAGCCTCCAGTTGACCTTCTGTGCCTTAATTCAGGTAGAGGTTCAAAAACTGGTCAGACAGAATGGAAATTTGCAAGAGTTTGGAAGGTGTGAAGTGTAAAAAAAAATCTCCAAACACCACTGTATGAGATCAAGGTCTGGTCTTAAATGTGAAATACCATTGTATGATATCTCCATGTTGTTATTAGACCTTCCAGTCATTGCATGTCAGGCTTTAAATCCTATTTGCTCCCAATTGCTCTGATCCGAACAAGAGGAGATGAAATGCCAAATGTTAAATACGAACTGCTAAAGACTGCTAAAGACTAAAGACTGCTAACTGCTAACTGTAAATATCAAGTGAGAAATAGGATTAGAGTATTAATCTGAAGTTCTGACCCTCAAAGGTGAATCCAGTTTCTTGATGGGTAGGAGCAGCCTAGGCAAGTAAGCCTTTTTCTATCCTTGTGCTAGCCACAAACAAGCAGCAACTCTGTTTAGTTATCCATCATTTGGATTTCTCCAGACCTGCATATCAGCCATAAATGGATAATTCAGAGTGGTGTGTGAAATTTAAAGCTTCTAATCAACCTGTGGTAGAACCTGAGAGAAAGCACCAAGAATGGCAAAATGCTCCTTGTAATAGAAAGATAGCATGTGAAGGTCATCCTTATGCTGTCTTTTCAAATGCTGTGAAACTGTGTGCACAAATGTGTAGGTACAGGTGAATCCACCCATATTGTAAACCAGAGGTCCCCAACCCCTGGCTCAGTACCAGGCCATGGCTTGTTCGGAACTAGGTCACGGAAACGGTGGGCAAGTGTATGCGCACATGCAGCTCTATTTGCATGAGTAGCAACAAAACCATCCCTCTCCCCCTTCCTATCTGCAAAGCTAGGAAGCTTGGGAACTGCGATTGTAAGCTAAAAATAGATAGCCTTCACTTCATGTCCGATCACTTACCACTCAAAGTTATGACTGATCCAAAAAAGGGAATTCTGATGGTTGGGCCTTCTCTGCAGTCACATGACCAAATTTCAGGTTTGCAATAGTAGCAGATATCTGTAGCTTGGGTGTAGGATGAGGGTGAAGGTTCATTCTCTGAGCTTGTGGATTCCGAACATTTCATTACCAGGCTGGGTAACATCTTCAGTGGAGTTTAGGGGATATCAGTTTGAGTGTTCCTTTGTTTATAAGGCTTTCAGGTGTGGGTGTGTCAAGTGAGAGTCTTGTGATCTAATCCTAACCCATCAAAAGACCCTCACTTGACTCACCCACACCTGAAGCCCTTATAAACAGAGGAACACTGACATTGACATTCCCTAAACTCAGTGCTGGGTTCCTCCCGGTTCAGTCCAGTTCTCCTGAGCTGGTAGTGGTGACGATATGATGTCACCGAACCGGTTCAGCCCCCTGCCCCCCCACCCCCCTGTGCCCCCCGCCCTCCCATCCCCCACATTATTCTTACCTTTTATTTGGCCCCACCCCCAATCTATTGCTGCCTCCTGAGTCCCAGCTGATCGGCTAGAAGGAAGAAAACTGTTTAAACTCTTGCCGCAGGGCTTCAAAGGGTCGCCCTACAGTTGATCAGTGTTAAAAGAAAACAAATGAGTAGACCAGTGTCTGCAAAAATAAATGGGTAGATCAGTGCCTGCAAAAATACATGAGTAGATCAGGGCCTGCAAAAATACATGAGTAGATCAGGGCCTGCAAAAATAAATGGGTAGACCAGTGCCTGCAAAAATACATGAGTAGATCAGTGCCTGCAAAATTACGTGAGTAGATCAGTGCCTGCAAAAATAAATGGGTAGACCAGTGCTTGCAAAAATACATGAGTAGATCCAGTGCCTGCAAAAATACGTGAGTAGATCAGTGCTTGCAAAAATAAATGGGTAGATCCAGTGCCTGCAAAAAATACATGAGTAGATCAGTGCCTGCAAAAATACGTGAGTAGATCAGTGCTTGCAAAAATAAATGGGTAGACCAGTGCTTGCAAAAATACGTGATTAGATCAGTGCTTGCAAAAATACATGAGTAGATCCAGTGCCTGCAAAAAATACATGAGTAGATCAGTGCCTGCAAAAATACGTGAGTAGATCAGTCCTTGCAAAAATACATGAGTAGATCAGTGCCTGCAAAAATACATGAGTAGATCAGTGCCTGCAAAAATAAATGGGTAGATCGGTACAGGTCGACAAGCAGTTAAAAGCCTGGTAGACCTGGTTTACCTCTGCTAAATCCTAAATAATTGTCACATGACCATCAAGCCACGCCCACAAAATAAGCCACGCCCACAGAACCAGTAGTAAAAAAATTTAGAACCTACCCCTGCCTAAACTCCACTGAAGATGTTACCTAGCCTGGTAATGAAACGTTCGGAAACCAACCCATAAACTTGGAGAACGAACCTTCACCCTCAAATTTCAGGTGCTCAGCAATATGGCTGTATTTACAGTTGTTTGCAACATCCCATGGTCACATGACTGCATTTTACGATAGTTTTATCGAACACTAACACTTCCAGGTTTTGGTACATACGTATCTTTTAGCAAACCCATAGCAAACCATTGATTTGCTTAATGACCACAGTGTTCGCTTAATGACTGCTGCAAGAAAGATCATAAAATTGGGTCAGTCACCTGATTGGCCCTGTTTTATGACCCTTACAACATAGGATTATAATGGGCAGGCTCCATTACAGTCGTAGGTCGAGGACTACCTATATCAACCATTTTGAAACAATGCAGCCAGTCCTTAAGAGGTTGAATGAGCTACTGAAATACTTCCCATTTGCTTTTAAAAAAGGAAAAGGGGAAATAGGAGTTTAACACCATGCACAAATTTCTTGTCTCTCCCTCACTTTTTCTCTCCTCTGTAGGGTGAAGGGGTCCAACAACTGCGAGAGGCCTTGAAGATTTTAGCAGAGAGAGTGCTAATTTTAGAACATATGATAGGGATTCATGGTGAGTGCTGGCAAACCTGGCTTTACTTCAAGGGACCTGCTTGCCTTATCGTGGAGGGGCAATGTGAAAGGTAGTTTGCCGGAAGTCCAGTTTAAAGACTTAAAGAAGGGACAGTTTATTGTTGTCTATTCAGAGGTGCCAACCCCTGGACATTTGATCATATATGCCAGGGGTGTCAAAACAGGCGTTGTCACAATGTCGTCACGTGACATATCGGGACTTTCTCCCCCTTTACTAAACTGGGCGGGGCCAGCATGTGACATATCTGGCCCACGGGCCGCGACTTTGACACCCCTGATATATGCACTTCAGCAACTCAGTTTCTCTTTTTATGAGAGGATGTGTTGCATTTTTGTCTAAATTTTAAAATGGATTTCTACATTTGTACCTGGATATTGAAATGAGCAGGTACACATTTTTAAGCAAAACCACGCCACGTTTCCCTTTTGGGTGATGTTATCTCTTTTTTTGGAAGGGCAAAAGGGCATTTTTGGAGTGGGCCCCTTAAAGTTTGGCTAAGTATAGCAATACAGCAAGAGCAGCCATATCAGTGGTGGAATTCAGCCGGTTCTGTCCGGTTCGGGCAAACCAGTAGCAGCGACTGCGGTTGGCCCCTCCCACCCGCTCTGACGTAATGTCGTCCTATTTAACCACATTTTGGAGGCCATTCGCATGCGGGGAAGGTGCGAGCATCGAGCATGCACGGACGGCACGCACGCTCACATTTGCGAACCGGTAGGGAAGGTAAGTGAATCCCACCTCTGAGCCACATGTCCAGAACACCATTCATTTATGATTTTTTATGGTTCTGTTCTGCCTATTTTCCCCACAACAAAGATGCCCCAGTGTGACAGGGTGGGTTGAGAGAAAATGTCTGCCCCAAAATCACTGACTAGAACTCACCGTCTCCCAGTTTCTACTGCGGCACTTTGACTGCTACGCGAAACCAGTTCTTGATTATTTGGATAGAAGTTGATTACAGTATTTATAATTTACTGCCATTGATCTTGTCTGCCTCTCTGGCAGCCAAAGCTTTCCGACTTTCTCTCTTTGCAGGGAGATGAGGGTCCTCCGTGGCCAGGGCATTTCCCATTGTCCCCTCCCTGTTTTTTAAACAATACCCCCCGTCCCGGTTTCCTTTGTTTTCAGATTCTTTGTCTTCCGTTGAACCAGGCTCAGGACAAGATGTGATCCTGGGCGCCCCGCTGCGAGCAAACACGAAAAACAAGCGGCACCATTCGAATCAGATCCTTTCTTCACTTCTGGATGACAGCAGACCCAGGGCGAAAAGTGACCAGAGGCAATAAAACTTTAGTAAGGTCCAGTGGTTGAATTCAATTTTTTTTACAACCAGTTCTGTGGGTGTGGCTTGGTGGGCGTGGCAAAGGAAGGATACTGCAAAATCTCCATTCTCACACCGCTCCAGGGGAAGGAAACTGCAAAATCTCCATTCCTACCCCACATGGGGCCAGCCAGAGGTGGTATTTGCTGGTTCTCTGAACTACTCAAAATTTTCGCTACTGGTTCTCCAGAACCTGTCAGAGCCTGCTGAATAGCACCCCTGGTAAGGTCCGTGTACTCCTCTCCCTTTCAGTTGTGCAAGGCAATGCCAATGTGTGCAGAAGTGTCGCCAGAAGATCCTCTCTTTTATTGGTCTTCCTACTCAACAATTGCTTTGGTACCACCTTGGCTGTGAACAGTGTTTTTCCAAAAGTAATTATTGGTTGGGAATTTGAGAAAGTTCTAACTCACTCACTTTTCCAGTGGCAAAAATATCAGAAGGAATTTGGTGGTGCCTTCTCTAACAGACAACATTTACCAAAAGGCATATAAGGTTTTTGATTTATCTATTTTTTTGGCCACATGGCTTTTTTTGCTACATTTCCATTTTTCACTCTGGGTGTTAGCCCGAAAAAAATACTTACACTGGAAAGTAGATTTGATTGTGAAATCCAATTTGTTTAAATGTCTAAAGTAGATTAACACTCCGTGGGTAGGTGCTACTTTTATTTATTATATATCTAAATAATGTATGGCTCACCCCTCAGCTTGAAAATTTCCAGAGCATCCTACACAGTAATTACATCCAAGCAGTTCTTGCATTTGGTGTTTCAAATGAAAAAAAAAAAGATGGCATAGAAGGAGAAACACAAGAAGAGGAAAAAGGAAAACAAAGTCATTGAAGCATGAATTAATGTGCCTCACTTTTTAATATTAAAAATGATCGACAAAAAACACTATTTTTCCTCTTTTGTGCATCACACATAGAAGCAGCCTGGTACCTCCCAGTTTGCTCCCCGAACAAGAATAGTGGTGGTTGGAATTGTAATTCTAGCCAGTTAGGATGCATCAGGTTAGGAAATGCTATCATACAGCAGACCTCAAATAGCTGAGTAATACAGAACAGAATAGAACCAAACAGAACAGAATGACAGAGTTGGAAGGGACCTTGGAGGTCTTCCAATCTAACCCCCTGCTCAAGCAGGAGATTCTATACCACAGGTGTCAAATTCTCGGCGTCACATTGCCATCATGTGATGTTTTGCAATGTTTTTCCCCTTCGCAGAGCTGGGGTGGGTGTGGCCTGCAGGTGACGCATCATGGGCCACCAGTTTGACACCCTGTCCTATACCATTTCAGACAAATGTCTGTCCAATTTCTTCTTAAAGTCCTCCAGTGATGGAGCACCCACAAGTTCTGAAGTATCCAGAAGCATTTAGCTAGCCTCTTTGGAAAAGCTGCCATTTTGTTACGCTTATTCTGGAATATTATTGTATATCAGCATTGTCTTCAGTAGTGAATTAAAATCAACAAAATGGTGGATGGAATAAGATTCAAGCCCCACCCTTAAGGGAGGGGCTTACATGTGATATTTCATCTGCCATCTTGCTGATTTTGACACACCTTCATACCCACCAGATGCTGCTGCTCTGTATTGATGAAGCATAATTTCCGAGACAACGAGACAAGGCTGGCACCACTATGAGCCTCAGGGAATCTACTTAGAATAGAAAATCCACCTGGCATCCATTCAACAATTTGTTAATTGAAATCCCTTCATCATCCAAACCTTTCCAGGATTCCCTTTGGGGGTAGATTTCTGCATAGTGGTTTGTTTTTTGCTTGTTTTAAGTCTGTAAAACAGGGGTGTAGATCTTTTTGTAAGTCAAGAACTGTCTTTGGCTTCTGTGTGATAAATTGCCTAAAAAACAGTGGGTGTTATTGGCGGGAAAGTCAAGCTTGGTTGGGTTTACATTAAATTAAAATTAAATAGAGTTAAAAAGATTAAATATTACATGAAAAGAAAGTAAAGACATGAAATTGAATTGGTTCCTCCTATGACAGTAACAACGGGAGTCCAAAAGTTAGATTTTGGATGTTAATGGATTCCTTTTCATTGGTAGGTCCAACAGCGAAGGCTTGAAGAGACCTCTGTTTATTCCTGTTGGGAAGTCCTGCAGGTCAGGAGGATGGAGCCATGTCCAATTGGAATACCTTCCTTGAACTTTCCATGATCTTTTAAAAATATCCTTCACATTTTACATACATGCTATTTTTGTTCTTGTTTTGGGGCCCGTCTCAGGTGATTACAATAAAGTTCCAATCCCAAGAAGTCTCATGTGATAAAGACACCAACATTTGTAGAGATGTCTGTATAACATCACTGATGTAACCTGTCTGCCATGGAGCCAGTGCTGCAGTCTAGAACATTCTGGGAATAACATTCTAGAGCACACACACCTGATCCACGAAGAGTGCGGAATGTGTTTATTGGCCCTACCATTGCTTTGAATGAATGGACTATGCACTGCAGAAAACAATCCAAGTTCATATTGCAAGGGAGGGGGGGCAATTAATAGAAGTAAGCTGTAGTTAATGATCGCTTCAAGACTCTTACTGATGTTCTAATTGTAGAACTCACACCAAGCATTCAAGAAACCTCAGTTACACAGTTGAGTTCGGTCTGAAAACCAATGTTCTATATAAATCTTCCTGTTATCCAGATTTGTAGTGCCTAGCCAAACTTGACTGATCTTGAGAAGCTAAACAGAATTGGTGAACATGTAGATTGGAGATAACCAGAAAATCTCAGAGCTGTAGGCTAGCTTGAGAAGTCAAACAAGCAACTGAGAAGAACGTAATAGCAATAGCACTTAGACTTATATAACGCTTCATAGTGCTTTTATAGCCCTCTCTAAGCAGTTTACAGAGTCAGCATATTGCCCCCAACAATCTGGGTCCTCATTTTACCCACCTCGAAAGGATGGAAGGCTGAGTCAACCTTGAGCCGGTGAGATTTGAACTGCCGAACTGCAGCTAGCAGTCAGCTGAAGTAGCCTGCAGTGCTGCACTCTAACCATTGCGCCACCTCAGCTCTAATGCCACCTCCTTAAATACTGTTGCCAAGAATATTATATATATATGGCTTATATATCCACAGAGCCAAGCTCTAGGGAATATACATACTTTCCTTTAATTTCCCCCCAAATCCAACTAGATTTTTGAGTAGTAACTTTGATGTTATAATCCAAAATTAAGGTCTATAAAACCAATAATGTTATCATTTTGCCAGAGTTTACCATCTGTGGTTATACTGTGGCTAATTTTTTACCTGTAAGGTGTTTTTTTAGATTCCTTCCTTATTTCACTTTTTACTAAAGTTCATTTGGACCTGTTATTGATGTATATATTGATAATGTTCCTATAACCTTCATAACTGAACAAATGAATGAAATTCCACAGGCAAAGTGTGGAGAATTGCCTCACCCATTGGATTTTAGTTCAACCATGAGATGTCAATGGCAGAGACAAGAATAGTGTGTCATTCCAGCATGTAAGGAAAAAAATGAAGTGTCTTATGGCATCTTAAATATTAATAAATTTATTGTCACATATGGTCCTGTATATCTCAGTCTGCTTCATTAGATGTGATCAGATTGTGATGAACAAAAGATTATACAATAGATTTTCTAAGTTGCTACTAGACATTTTTGGCTTGTTTGTTACAAAAGATGTAACATCACACCCATCCTTCTAGAATTGAAATATGTAGATTTTTGTCTCTGTATCTACTAGGAGGGACAGCTGAGGTGGTTTTAAGGCTTTCCAGTACTTAAGTAGAATTCACATAAAGTCTTGCAGCCATACAAATAGTTTGCTAACTGTATAGAAGATATACCTTAGTTCATTTACCGAAATTGAAATTCTTGCAACACAATTCAGTGCAGCTTATTAGATTTTTAAAATGTGTTTATCAACCTACAACTTGTTATAAGTTTGTCTTAGAGCAATAGAAGGGCCTCTTTTAATTAACAAGGATGAAAATTAAAGCACACTTGATCTTTTTTTTAATGCTACTTTGTTTAAGGTATATTATCATGGAAAATGAGAAAGAAAATAATTTTTATAAATGTAGCTTAAGGCTGTTTCAAGGTACCGTTCCTATATTCTCTTTACTAAAACTTGTTTAATATTTGAAAGCTATTAAAAATTACATTTATTTCACTTTCTCACAAGAGCCCCTATCTTGAAGGTTTGGAAAACATAATCCGAAGGCTTCTGCTGAATCGTTTATTCCTCTGTCATTTAGCTGTAAACCAAAAGAGGTTAAACAGCTAGAAATGATTTAGGTTTTATAATTTGATTGCAGATGGTCCTTTAAGATATGTACAATTTGTACATCTATAGTTTCTGATAATCAGCGGTCTTCTTGTATGTTACAAAATGAAATCATTTTGATAGGATCTACATTGCTGAACCGTACCATTTTGTTGCTCTTTGATTGCAAAATGAGATTATGGATACCTAAAAGGTACATATTGCAAGTTCCTGGATGATAAAGGCTAGGAGTAATTTGCAGAAACATGGCAGACAGAAGCCAGGTACTTAAGTCTTATTCAGGATGATTTCCCTTATCTTTTCCCCACCATTATACCCAAGATTTTTCTTCCCTATTGGGTTTCATATGTTTGAGTCTACCATAAAGAGGATGACAGGAAGTAGTGATTGGATGATAAAGAAAAATCTGACAAGCAAGAAAATAACTACCTGCCCACCTGCCTGCCCGCCTGCCTGCCTGCCTTTGTGTTGCATTGCACATGTTTCTCTTCTCCCTTCCTTGCCACTATCTGAAATGTAAAACAGAAGCAGTTGCAGAAATTTTCAGGGTTGCGACTGGGAACTAATGCAGAGTAATTCTACTGCGAAGTGGAATGGGACAACTCGCCACGGCCAACTTGCTATGGCCAACTCATCGTGGAACAACTCACTGCAGAACAATTGAACAATTCTATTTAATTATTTAAAATCAAAAAAATATTTTAATTTTTGCCATTCACATTTCATTCTGTCCCTCCTTTTGAATCCTTTCTTTAATAATTATATTCTACTATTTCTTTAATATTAATGTAACTCTTGTCCTGCAGCGGGTTTGCTGTGGTGAGTTGTCTTGCAGCAAGTTAGTTGTGGCAAGTTGACCACGGCAAGTTGGCTGTGATAAGTTGGCCATGGCAAGTTGGCTGTGATGAGTTGGCCATGGCAAGTTGGCTGTGATGAGTTGACCATGGCAAGTTGGCTATGATGAGTTGGCCATGGCAAGTTGGCTGTGATGAGTTGACCACAGCAAGTTGGCTGTGATGAGTTGGCCATGGCAAGTTGGCCATGCTGAAATGTCATAGACTCACTCCTAAGAGCTTCCTCAGACAGTAATCATTCATTGGCATCCTTCAGTCTCAAAAGACTATGGTATCGTGCTCTGGAAAGAGGTCCTAAAACAGCATCTAGTGTGACTAGCAGACAGCGGTATTGAAGTGCTTTTATACAGACTTTGAGGAGGTAGAAAAGTACACTGGCATACCTGGCACTGCCCTCACTGTAGATATGTATTTTGCCTTGATAAGGGTGTAAGGCTGTCCTTTATTGGCTTAATAGAGGACAAGTTAAAGAAATTGATTTGTGAATTCCATAAGCTTAGTTTCTACCAAATCTCACCAGCCAAAAGGGTTAACATCCACCATCATTCTCTTTAGCATAGACTGAGACTGGAGACTAGGCAAATTTTGATAGATGACCAGAGTGGTGGATTTAGCCATGTGTCATAATATGTTTGCTTTTTGACAAGTATGTATGTTCAAAAGAAGCCCAACTATTAGCTGGATATGGCTTTAACATCTTGAATAAGAAGAGTTGGAAGGGACCTTGAAGGTCTTCTAGTCCAACCCCCTGCTGAAGCAGGAGATCCTATACCATTCCCAACCAGTGGCTGTCTAGTTTCTTCTTAAAAGCCTCATGATGGAACACCCACAGCTTCTGAAGGCAAGCCATTCCACTGGTTGATTGTTCTCACTGTTAGGAAATTTCTCCTTAGTTCTAGGTTGTTTCTCTCCTTGATTAGTTTCCATCTGTTGGTTCTTGTCTTACCTTCTGGTGCTTGGGAGGACACTATTCCAAAAATAATGCTAAAATACCTTTTGTGGAATGGCTACTCCAGAATTGCATTATTTTGGAATGGCACTATATGTGTGCACATTGCAAAGCATGCTCTTTGTTTGTGAGAAGGAACTTTCTCCCCACCCCAATTTCTGCTGCTCAAGCCTGAGATCCAAATAAACACTTCAAAGTGTGAGCCCCTTTGAATTTCAGGAAGGATGGTTTCAGCAACAGAAAAACATCCCAAGGGTGTATAATTGCAAAACGAGCAAGAAACATGCATCTGCACACACATCTTTTTCTCCCTCTCCTTCCTTCCCTCTCTCTCATAAACAGATCATCTATTCTTTCAGGAAAGTGGTATACATGTGTTTATAAAGAGCCCATATAATACTGTGTGTCTCTATCTCTCTCTGTCTGTCTCTCTGTCTCTCTGCCTCTGTTTCTCTCTTATCTTTCTCTCTGTCTCTCTCTCTCTGTCTCTGTCTCCCTGCCTCTATTTCCCTCTATCTATCTCTCTGTCTCTGTCTCTGTCTCTGTGCCTCTGTTTCTCTCTGTCTCTGTCTCTGTCTCTCTTTCTCTTTCTGTCTCTTTCTCTCTCTGTGTCTCTCTGTGTCTCTCTCTCTCTTTGAGACAGGTCTAGTCAGACATTAAACAAGGACATCCCTTTGCAAATCCCAGGTATGTTTAACAGCCAAGCCAAAATAGCCACAGAAGGCAATATTCAGTGGCCAGAGAGGAGAAGGTATCTCTGCAGGACTCTTAAAGTAGTCAAAGGAAACTGGTCAGATCTCAACCGTTGATGGCATCATCCCCAACACTGTGAAGGTGGCATTGTATGCTGCTTTGTATAGCAAGGCTTGCTTTGGTAGAAGAGGGAAAACATTACAGTATTTAGGACTGGAACAGTTAAAGATGAAGTTAATCTGCTGGGGATGAAACCAAGCTAACATTGTGAAGATACGTCCTTCAGCAAAGCATCTTTGTTCCATGGTGGGGGGGTGGGGTGGGGGGCTGAGGATAAGTTGCTATCAAAGTCCGCAAAGCACACTTTAAGCAGGCATCTGAATTCGGTATGTTAGTTAAGACCGTATGTATTATATAAATATATATGTGAAATATTAAATATATCTATTTAAGTTATATCCATGCATTATGAACATTTGAAAATGTCCCAGGTTCTTTTGATACCTTACTCATTTATCTGCTCTCTTCCTAATGGAGGATGCCAATATGAATAAAGTTTTGGTCAGATCTTGTGAACTTCATGGATATATTAAGTGGTAAAGCAGTGTATCCAAACCAGCAACTGGATTTCAGTCAAACTACTTTAAAGATGAGTGGAAGGCTAATTTCAGAATCTTGCTACTTTCTCCTGTGGGCTGTCTCAGAAATTGTTTCGCCAGTGTTACTTGCTGCAAATTTTGCTTTAATTTTTACCTTTGATGTGGTAACTACTTAAGGGAATGGAAATAGGATTTGGAAGCTTTCTTTGGCCCAACTATTTCTAGATGCAGATCCTAAATGGAGTACCTGGGGGACATCTACCTACCCCTTCTCTGCAGCTTTTTTATTATTACTGTTCAGGTTCATAAATTTTTATTGAATTGCATCTACTTCTCTTCTTGCTTACTATAGGTTTCATTACTGTATATGGAATGTTTTGTATTCTCCTTTTTTTTGGGTGTTTGGGGTGTTCCCCCCCCCTCTACAGAACAGTGGGGGCAATATTAAAGAGCCCACAGATACCAAAGACATACTTATTTAATGCACTGACCAATAAAACATTCTGTATGTGAAAACAATCTCTTGTCTTTAAAATTGACTTTCTGCCTGCATTTGGCAACCCAAAATAAAATTGGACAAGTGTGTGGGGATATTACCTCTGCTTTTGGGAATTATCTTACTTCAAGTATTTGACTCTTACCACAAAAAATACAAAAACAAGAAGCTGCAAAGTGGATTTGAATGGCTCACAATAAGGTCAGAATGGGGATTTCTCTCTCATTCATGCATATTTTTTGCTGTCTTTAGCAGGGATTCCTCAATCAACTCAGCAAGTAAATGAAATGGACATATTTTGGACCCTCTCCAAAAAAAAAAAAAAAAGAATCTTTGAGGAAATTAATTGCCGTACAACTGGCGTTTTCAGCTTCTGCATGTTGTTATGCTGTACTCCAAAATTAGGACAAAACGTGGAACCCCTCCAAAAATGAAATTGAATTTGAATCAAACAATTATATGGAGTTAGCATTATTATTCCCTATATATTTTACATGAGTGGACAATGGAGCAGGATTTGAGAGATTTGAGGAATCCTAGCATCTAAGAATGTAGTCCTGAAATAAAAATTGTGTTTGGATATTAAAACTGGTTGACTAAAATCTGATTGATTAAGTCCAATACTCGGGAGGATGATAAGCAATCATTACCTGAGGTACAAAGCATGCTCCAGAAATATATTTATTAAATTTATATGCACTCCCCACCCCTATGTTGCAGTTCAAGTTTTATTATTGACAGGAGCAGAATTTGGGGTCAAAGTCTAGAGTTCCATTCAGGAAGATGTCCTCCAAAAAGAGCAGAGTTTGAGGTAAATCAATAAATACATACCCATGTCTTAAAAAGAGAGGGCTAGAAACCCATTATATCTACGTCCTTACATTACATAACTGCGTCGGTGTACCATCCCTCTTCTATTTTTACTTAATGGATTTTAGTATCCTTTTAAAACATAGAAGTCTGAGCCAGGAAGTCCTCATATCTGATCAGGGTGATGGCCATGGAAACAACACAAATATCTCACTGACTTGATGATTGTACAAAACTGTCAACCTGGATCCCTCAAGGATCACCTTTGCTTAGATGCCTTCTGACAACACCACTCTGGTTTCATTAACCATCAGTAGCCAATAATTATTTTGGAAAGCAAATCACATTGAGCTCCATTCTGTACTAACATTATGTTTTAAAGAGTCAACAATGAACAAATGAAGAACTGGTGTGGTCCCAATAACATAAGAGTTTGTTCACCTTTCTCTTCGTAGTTTTCACATTTATTTTATTTATTTATTTTA